TGTTTGAAACTCTAAGTTAGGTATTTAGTAAACTTTAACTCTGGTATTCATAATTTTATTTTTTGAGAACAGTACTATTAACTTTGCAGGGAAACTGTTTATCCCTTAAAAGTAAGTTACTTTTTAAAGTCTTTAAAAATCTTATCTTTGCAGGAGATAACACTATACCCAGACAAGCATGGCTGTGTCAGAGATCTCCTGGAGGAATGTAAAAAAGCTGTAGAACTTTCTGACAAGGGTTCAGAAAAGCTCAGGTAATGGCTAGGTGTTTGATTTTTAGAATGTGATATCTTGCAGCTTATTCGTATTTCATAATCATACAGGTTACAGGACATGGCATTTCTCATGGAAGTGTTTTTAATGACGGTCAGCAGGCATGTGGGTGTCTGAGGCCTTTGCCACTTGGGTGTGCTTGAGACTGGTACCAGCAGAAGGAATAATTTTCATTGATAATTTGTAGAAAATGACTATTCAGAAAGCCTTTGGTTAGAGATAAAGGATGCCACACTAGTACCTTAATAGAAATTGTAGTCTGCACTTCATAATCACCATCAGTCCCCTGTATTCAGGTTCTGCACTCTGCCAACAACAGGCCAGTCCATGCCGGTTGTTTTCTGGGATTTGTAGGGGGTGTTTCTGATCAACTATGCGAAATTATGATTTTAGGGGGATGTTATTCCAGTTTGATCATATGTGGAGGTGTTCCACAAAGTAGAAGTGTTCAGGGAATGTTGTTGCTTCGTGACAATGCAGCAGTGCAATCTGATACTCGGATGCTCAAACAGCAGTTCATGAAAGTGACTCTGACCCCGTGAGTTGTTCACACTGAAGTCCAGACCTGACCTGCCCCTAGAGCTTAGTCCGTTTTGAAATCTGAACCCTTTCTTTTGTTTACAAAATGTATTTTGTTGGCAAGGACAGGTTAAAGGTGGAGTGGAGCAAGTCCATTGAAGTGAAAGGAGAGTTTTGTAAGCAGTCGAGGCCTGAAGTACAGTACCTTGACCAGCAAAGCCTATAGTGTCACTACAGGTTGTTTTGCAAAAAAAAAAGTGTCATTTTCAGGGTCATGTCGGACCCACTAAAATCTTTCTCTGTTTTGGAAAGAAAATAGTCCCCCACAGGAAATTAGCAACTTTGCCAATCAATAAATGTTAATTCCCCTTGCGCCAGATTTTTTTTTAGATTGAAATGCTATTAAAAATGTTGCAATGATGATGAGAAATGTCAAAACGTATGACTACATCTGACAATGTAAAGAGATTCATTTCAAATGTGCTGTACAGGACATTACTTCTCTTGTTTTCAAAGTTGATATCTATTAACTGTTTCCTTATTTTTGGCTTTTGTGGACACTTCAGGCTGCTAGAAATTGTAAGCTACAAAATAATTGGAGTACACCAAGAAGATGAACTGCTAGAGTGTTTATCTCCTGCAGCAAGTCGCACCTTCAGAATAGAGGTATGTGAAATGTGCAGGTTTATACACTAACCAAATACTTATATGGGTTGTATTGTATTATTGGTTTTAACATTTTATATTTAGAAATATATACTTAATATTTCTATCTAGATTACAATTGGGTGTAATTTGAAGCCATTTAATGGAAGAAATTAAAATATTAGTGCATTTTGGGAATCCTGGGAAACTCAGCAGGCCAAAAAATGTTTTAATCCATTTTCTATGCTCTTTATCCAGTACAGTTTTGCTTAACTTAAAAAAAAAAAACAGGTTTATAATTAGTATATCAGCAAGTAACTCATGGGTTCATAAGACTACTTTTTTAATTTGATAGGAAATCCCTCTGGACCAGGTAGACCTTGATAAGGAAAATGAGATGCTGATACCTGTTGCACATTTCCACAAGGAAGTCTTTGGGACGTTTGGCATCCCATTTTTGCTGAAAATTCGTCAGGTATGTGTTGTGCATGTATGCAAAGCTGCGTCTTTAAGGAAACTGTCCTGTTCTTCATACTGTTGTTGCGTGTTTCAGGGAGAGCCATTTAGGGAGGTTATGAAGAGGATTCAGACCATGCTTGACATCCAAGAAAAGGAGTTTGAAAAGGTAACTGCTGACTATACTGGACAGCTTGTCGATAAATTGCTTTGAAGAAAAATTGCTTTTGACATTTGGTATTTGTAATTGGCTTTGGTCATCATTTAACCCATTATCCTTTTCATTTCTCACTTCAAGTTTAAGTTTGCAATCGTGATGATGGGTCGGCATCAGTACATCAATGAAGATGAATATGAAGTAAATCTGAAAGACTTTGAGCCTCAGCCTGGTATGTGAACGCTGTTTTAGCAATGAAGAGGAGGAATATGTGCTTAATATTCTTTTAGGCTTTTTACAACATTTTAGATGCATTTGAATAGGCAACCCATTAGTCTATATTCCATTTACCTTTTCTAAATACATTTTTACAGTTCAGGCCTAAAGCATGGAACACAGTAAATCCTTTTTTGTACAACTGCTTATTGTATTTTATGCTGGGTTTTCCCTATTTGCTCAGTATACATAACACTATTTGATAGTAATAAGCTTAAGTTTAATTTTTGTTCCTTCTTTGCTGAGAGTACATGAATCCCTCCCTTGGGGAGGTCCATGCAAACTATATTTTGCACAGAATGGATTGTTTTTCTGTCGGATATAGAACATATATTCAAGTCAAAACATAAAATCCAATACCTTGACCATCTATATAATGTAAAAGGTGAGTTTGCAGAAAATGATACTATTCCAGGCACTGAGTTTTTCGAGGTGTAGATGGAAAATCAGATCTGTTCTTGTACTAAATGGTTTTGAGTTTTAGCTTGGGTTGTCCTGAAGGCAATTAAGCAGTGGTGCAGAGAGATTGCAAAAGTTTTTGTGTAATCATTTTTTTTTTTCCCCTAGGCAACATGTCGCATCCAAGGCCTTGGTTAGGGCTTGACCATTTCAACAAGGCTCCAAAGAGAAGTCGCTATACATACCTGGAAAAAGCAATCAAGATTCACAACTGACATCTTCACCCTAACTGACCATACTAAAGACTTAACCAAACCTCTTGTGTGCGCCACTGTTAACAACCGCAAACCTTGGGTACACATGCACCACATATGAAGTCTTCAGCAAAAAGGATTTGCTGCTGATGCTTTTATTTTGTTGAGGCTGTTCAGTTTGGCTTCTCTGTATCTGTTGACTGCCTATTTTGTCTGGAAGAACCAATTGGGTTTTATCACAATGAACGATGTGGACCGATAGGCAATTTTTTAAATAAGTTGTTACAGCGATGAAAGCTGCTGCATTGGGAGGGGACAGAAGATAGGAGCGGAAAAGGTTGCCGTTTGGGGGGGAAAAAAAGGTTTCCATCATTTTTGAAATTCGACAGGTGGCGTAAGATTGCTAGTTGCCTAATGTGGTTGTCCTGATATTATACCCTGGTCCTTTAGTGCAACTAGTAAATTTCATGTTTACACAGTTCTGTTTCACTTAGTTTTGGTTGGAGGAATTCAGTTTGTCTTTACCGCTGATCTTGTACAAAACAATCCACAGCATCAGTAATAAAAATCTGTACTTCATCTTGCACGTTGGCACTTAATATCAAAGATTTTACATTTATCTGTGCCGTTAAATGTAATCTTTGGTTATGGTTTTTTTTTAAGTTGGTTTTTTTTTCCTTCCGCTCTTCTGTCACTTTGCTGTGGGTTTATTAAGCTGATGCCATTGGTCATGTTTGATGGCTTTAATGGACGTTGACAAGTTTTACTGTACTGTGCTTTGGCAAATGGCTAAGAACACATAGTGTTGACTGGTTGAGGATGTAGAGAAACCAGCATTAATAACCGAAATACAGCCTTTTTAGCACAGAAGGCATGCTCACTAGCGTTTAGTCAGCTGTTGACTTTGTAAAGATAAAATTCAAATTGTATATTTAAAGAATGAACATGTAAAATTTTAACACTCAAAAGGTAATTGTTGGGTGCAAATCATTTCACTGATGTTCATATTCATTGTGTGTAGTTTTATTTTGGTCCCTGACTCCATATTTTATTCCTTTTTAATTTTTTTTTAACTAATGGCAACAGCGTGTCTAGTTTGAGTGCAGTACAAACAAAATTGAATTCTGCAGATCACATTTTCAGTTCTCCAGTCTTTTTAATTTCCTCCTGTAGCAGCAGTGTACGACAACTATTCCTGTATATTGCCTTTTTGCTGGAAAATGTTGTATGTTGAATAAAATTTTCTATAAAATCCTATGTAGCAATCTGTAACCACCACTTAGAAAAAGTCCATTTTTAGATTTACATCATGAAAATGATATTTCAAATGTGAAATACTCTCCAGTATTGATCAGCACATGTGGCTCTTTTCCCACAACAATGAATTGGTTCAGTATTTGTTCGATGTTGGGGGGAAAAGAAGGTTTTTCTTGCGTGTAGATGGTGTGTTTTTGGGCAGAAACTTAAGAATTTTTCACAAATAAACTGGCAACTGATCATGTCAATATGTAACAATTACCTGTTCCCTCTATGTGATATGCAGAAGTAGAAAGTGTCACTATACAAAGTGAAATGGATATTAAGACAGCTCTTTAGGACGTGATGGAATATTCCAAAACATTCACATAGTTCTGCAACTGCACTACTGCTTTTAAACTGGCATAGTCTATGTTAGTACTGGTTTTGGGGGAAAATACTAGTATGGACTAATATAGCCTTTTGGAACAGCTTCTACAGAACTGTAACACCTGACATAAAGGGGGAAAACCAAAGGTCAGTATTGTTTAGGGAAATGATACATGAAAATGTTAAGAATAGATTGGTTGATCTGTCTTTGAGGGAAAAGGCTGCTGATTTAAGAGTATATAGAAAATGTATATTGTATTCATGTTTGCAAACCTATAAAAAAAAAAAAGGGCACATTTTATTTCATTTTGCTTACATTTGGTGTAAGGTACAGTTTAGACTACTGAAGTTTGTAGTTAATCAGAATAGAATGTGCAGGAGCTATATAGAATTCCTGCAGTAGGTGGTGCTAACTGTACATTTTACCAAAAACAATGCTAGTTTAAGCATGTGGAAGGATTTCTGAAGTATCTCCCCTCCTAAAGGAAATAGAGGAGAAGCACTGGTGAAATTCATGACACAGCTGGGTCCTGTGCAGCAGCATCCCCACGCCAGCCGTCCAGGTGAGGAACTGAGAGGTTGTTTCAGCATTTTCGTTAGGAGAGAACATGAGGACCAGCAGCTTGCGCAAGTGGACAGTGGGATTTAGCCAAGATGGTGGTGTTCACACATTTCACCCCTACAGCCACCATGGCATCTTGATTTAATATCTCATGTCTTTAGAAATCTTAACCAAAGAAGAGTGCATCACCTAGTTGTACACCATCCCCATCTGTTCGGCTTTAAAACCCTACACCTTTGCGGTTCAAATAGCAAGCCACAAAACGTTTTAGCTGCTCTGTGCACTTAATGGGGACTTCCTGCCAAACAGTCTCAAAAGTGATACACGAAGGAGGTACTGTGGGAGATCTGTAAACTTTACTGAACTCTTGGATTGCACATGTAACGTGTATATACATATCAAATTAGAGGTACACAGATACACATTGTGGTGTCAAAAAAAAAAAGCATTTAGAAAAAACCTTAATACTATACCATTACTGAATGATACTGGACATGGGTTCTTGAGCCATGTTTATAGTAGAAGAGTATAGTAGGGTTAAGAGAATATAGAAGCTTTTGTATTTTCAATACTTTGGTGCATTGATTGACTCAACATGAGAACCATTGCTCTTGCTGTTAAATGGCCACCTACCACCAATAAAGGAAGCAGAGAGAATAGTCTCCACTGTACAGTTATTTTTCCATGAGTTCCTTTGTAGTTAAAGCAGGGTGCCACACCCATTTTAAAACCAGAGTAATTAATCCATCATTACATATTACACAGCAGAATACATCAAAGAGGTACAGTATCTAATCCACTTGGACACAGAATACCTATGAACAACTAATTTTTGTAGCTCTGCATCTGATCCAACATTAGGAAGTATTTTTATGCAGGTGTTGACTGCATCCTCTTCCTGACAGCTGTACGGCCCTTTTACCTCATTAGCAAGTAAGCTGGAGCTGTGAAGAGAAATGCACAGCCAGCAGCAGGTGCCAAGAGGATGGGGCTACTTGCAGCAGGCTTTCTTGTTCACATGAAGAATGCGACTGCATCTAGGACAAGTATGATAGACGTCCTTGAAGTGCTTGACAAAAAACGGGATGAGGCAGCAGCCGACCACTAGTCTAAAAAAAAAGGAAAAGAGCAGAATAATCAAACCTATGAACTGCTTTGTGTGCTGATCACACTGTGCATGTTTGGGTTGGGGCAAACAAAACCTCCCCGTTGTGGAGGTGGCGTTTTACATCTCTGCCATTGGCACAAGACTTGAATTTGGCTTTCGGCTCCCAAATCTTAATGGCAGCAGTGTGGGGGAGGTGGAGGGGCTCCCAGTTATGTGAAATACACCTGGCATACAGCTCTCTCTGCCCCAGCTGGATAGCAGACAAGGGGCCGCCTTCCTCCTACCTGCAGAGTTTGTTACCCTGGTGAGGAGGGACCTGATCAGGTTCGCAATGCAAATTTCTATTTTAAGAATATGCCGCTCAGAACATATTCTGAGCGGCAGTATTTAGCACAAGAAAAAAGACAGCAGAGGCATGACTCCATGTTAACTAGATGTCAGTACTCATTCTCTTAATGGATCTTTGGGTACAACAGGATAAATATTTCCGGTATAGCAGATACTGGGAAAGTCAGCCACATAAGGATTTGACTCTAGAGGCAGTTCATGCAGTGGATTCAGGGAGTATTAACAGAAGTCATATCTGCTGCCAAGCAGACTGCCACTTTGTGATCAATCCACGTCACAATGGTACAGTCATTTATTGTTAGGCGCCCAGTATTTCCGAACATTTGACTACTTGTTAAAAAATAAAGGTAAATCCAAAGATTTTTAAAGTTCTTTTTAGAATACTTTGCCCTCCCGTTTAATAAGTCCTCACCCTTTTTTTGGTCTCTGAATCGAGAGCACGCAGGCCAGGGTGGTACTTACCCACAGACGATGAAGAGCAGGCACATGAGGATTGCATAAGCTCCCACTTTGTAGTGCACATTGGTCAGGACCTGCTGCTGGCAGTGTGTGCACGTGGCCATGACTGGCTCCCGGCCAATTTCCTTCTCCTCGTAGCTCACAAACTTCTGCTTGGGTTCTGAAGCATAGGTGTATACTGGAGGGGAAGAGAGATTTCACCATTGAAATACCTTAGATCTCCAGCTTCAATCTGGAGAGTCAGTCTCTAGAGGTGAGTCATTCCTGCATTTATATACAGTATATATTTTTTTTTTTGTTGTGGAGCACTTTTTCATCTTCGCTGAAATCCTCAGAAGTGAAAAAAATCAAGGGAATAAAGAGTTATAAGGTAATCCCAGTATATACTTAACGATTGCTCATAAACTTGGTTATCTATCTATCTGGGCTGGCCTGAACAAAATCACTGCAGTCAATAGGCTTTGAAATGTTTTTGTACATTTCGATTCAGTTGGGCACCAACAGAGATAAGATAAGATCATTTTATTGGCTACATACAATTTCTTGTATTAGGAATTTATCTTTTTCGCATACCCCAACCTGCTCTCCATGAGACAGACAGGGAGAGAGAAGCTTGGGGTCAGAGCGCAGGGTCAGCTATTTATACGGCGCCCCTGGAGCAGTTGGGGTTAAGGGCCTTGCTCAGGATACGAACCGGCAACCTTCCAGCCACAGGCGCAGATCCTAAGCCACAGAGCCACCAAAGAGGACACCAGTACTCAGACAGCAGCTATCTAACACACACGATGCTAATCAGAACAGCAGTGTGGAAAAGCAATCAGGGTTCTGGACTCATCACTGGAAGATTGCAGGTTCAAAACCCAGGTGAGACTTTTTTTACCCCTTTAGCAACCTACTTTACCCAATTCGCTCCAGAAACACACTCGGCCATATGAATGGCAACAAATGCAAGTCACTTAGGATGAGCCAAACAAATCTATTGAGATGATCTGTTCCAGGAATCCAGCTGTTGGACACCCGAAACGTGACCGTGCCTTTCTTCTCATTTTCAGGAAGGGAGGGGGAGGCCCTACCTGGCGAGGAGGACTTGGTCTGGACGTAGCTCTGCTCTCTCGGAGGGGGAGGGCTGACGGGAGAGTGCAGATGATAAACCTTCACACCGCCATCATCCAGCTTGCCTTTCCCGTCCACTGCGGAGGAGGAGGACACAGGACAGGTATGGAAATACGAGCAGCCGGGAAGATTGTCGTCTTAGTTACAGCTCGCCGGTACCCACGATAACTCCTAATCAGATAAACCTCCCTTTCAGATACCAGCCTGACCTGCTTCACCACGCGTAGACCTCATAATCACATCTTGAATGAATTACAGGGGAGTCTTACCTCTTTACCCAACTTCCCACCTTTGAACAAAACAGAGACCCGTTTCATCATAATGCTCTCGGGCCGCTTGAAGGCAATAAAAAAAGAGTCTTATGTTCCGAGTGTAAAAACTTTGATTATAAGAAAAGCCTGCTGTTTTTACAACATTTCACTGATCTACATTTAAATGATGGTGAAGGTGTCAGAAAGCAAGAGCTCACTACAAGACATGTGATTGAGAGATTTAGTCAAAGGAGGACGTTTCCACCTCAGCCCCTCACCTCTGAGACTGCCCCTGTTGAATGTGCACACATTGTTAATTTAATTATTTTTTTTAATCAAACTCACCCACCATGGACAGCACGGTCTGCCCACAGGGTAAGCAAGAAACACTGCCCTTATTAACATCTGTCCCCATCATGCTACCGGTTCGTCTTTTTTAAAACCCTTATGCGACGTTTATTATATCTGCATTGAAATGAAAACCCGTCTCCAGGTGGCTCGTTGTCGGCGCCCAGCCGTTTTCTTAACGAGCCGTTTCTTGGGGGATCCCCACACGGGTGGAGGCCAGCCGTTGTCCCAGTGAGCAACAGGCGATCTTACTTTGTATCGCATAGGGTGGAGGATCGCGTAGCCCATCGCCTGTGCTCTTCTGATCGCTCATCCTCTTCTCCGGGCAGGGGGGGTGGCTGAAAAACAGAAGGGGGGGGGGGGGGGTTTGAGGAACGCCAAGAGACAGACGGAGGCAAGTGCATTCAAGAGCAGAGGCTGCCAGCCCAGTCCTCACCTACTGTACGTCTTACATGCCTGCGCCTTTTAAGCAACACACTTCTCTTTTTAGGATTGAAGATGTTCACTGAGCTCTTGGCATTTCTGCTCCAGCTGTCCCTGGACCGGCAGCGCACTGTCAGGACAGTTTCCGGCATCACGTTCGGTTAAGGGGAGGAATGCTGTGTGGCCGCATACCTCTCCGGCTCAACACTGCCACCTGTTGGCTGGGGAGTCTCCCCACCCCCAGGCACTGTCCCGGTGCAATCAGAAAGAGGGGTGAGGGTGACCTCCTAATCACCAGAGCTGCAGTCAGTGCCTCTGTCTGTAAAGCTCCATGATTTCAACCTCCCCCTTAGTCTCCCTTTTCCTGTAAATGCTTGGAACAGGCCGTGCTCGAAACAGATGAGCTACTCAAGTCAATACCCTAGTTGAGGACAAATGGATCCAGCACTGTGGATGCTTCTGGGTGACAGTTAATTTATGCACAGGTTATAACACCATAAGCAGGCAAACGCTGTCAAATTAATATCGGTCAAGAAGAACAGGAAAGCACTTAGCACAATGATATATTCAAGTCATGAAGTGTTGGGGTAGCTTCAGGCACAAAGGTCAAGAGCAGACTTCTTGAAAAGATCAAGTAGGGAGCTGCATCATCATGCATAGGCTGTGAAGGAACAAGTAAAGGTTCATTCCCTGCTGAAAAGAAGAAGTGTTTCAGCTGTGGAGCCTCCTTCAGGTGCGTCGCTCACCTGAAGAAGGCTCCACAGCCAAAACACTGGGTTTCTTTTCTTCTCTTTTCAGCAGAGAACGGACCTTTACTTGTTCATTAACAGATGTTACAAATCCCAACCAATCCGAGACGAAAAAAAGCATCCCGGGGAAGCTTGGGTCATGTTGTTTGCTCTCTCACAGCTGAAAGGGAGTTGGGAATGAGCACCGCTCCATCTTTTGGCCCAGGTCCTTCACGGTGGGACGGCGCTGTAGAGGCCATAGAGGTTAGAAGAACACAAGTGGATGCTACAGTATGTGGCAAGGCAAAGGTGCCAGGCCCACCCCTCTCATGTGAACAGTGGTCAAGTCCCAGCACAAGCCCAGAGCAGCCAGCGAGCAAGGTGTGGCCCTCTACGAAAACATCCAGCCCTACGCTCAAGCAGCAGAGGTATGTGGAAATTCCCATCTTGTGGGAGTATACACAACCCACTGTGACCTAATAGCTGGGTTCTATTTTTATACCCCCATATACACACTGTTCCGACTTCCCAGTATTATTGGGCAGTTATCCCTTAGGACCGAGCTGGTGGCCACTTGCTAGTGTCACGTTAGCTGTTTTTCCCCCAACACATTTGGACTCTTTCTTCTCAGAGGTTTCGTAAGGAAACTTAAACTCCAACTAAACACTGAAATTAAGGAGACTGTTGAGTTTTAGTTTAATTCCGACACGGTAGGAAAGGTGACCTGAGACTGAAAGTTAACTGGTTTGATTCCGCGGGAGTTCAGAGCATCTTAAAAAACCTTCCGGGACTAGAATAAAATCGCGCAATTGTTTGCAGAGCATTACACATTAATGTTACTATTACTGCTAAAAACATCCGCCATCCACTTCGAGAAAACCAGAGGCGCTGCTATAACCTAACACGTGCAAGAAATTGGAGGTTTTTTCAAAAAAAAAAAAAAAAACGCGCAAAAATATCGTATATTGTTCTTGGTTCAATCTTGCTCACGCCACTGTTTTTACTGAAAAACGACCAGTTAAAACATAAAATTCCCCATTGCAGCACTGCGTCGACCCCCTCTTTCAGTTTACATTGTTATATAATACATCATTAAATGGAATCAAATGTTTTTTTAAAATAAATGCGATCATTTCAACCCCCGTGCGCACGCGAGGAAGCGCTAAAAGATTGTAATTTAAAAAGCAGTCACAGTCGTGTCGAGCCAGACCATTCTGTTCTAACTCGCAAAACGTTGGGAAGAAACAATATCTTGGTTTAAGACACGACATGAATTATAAACCCCGGCAGTCGGTACTCAGAAGAACGCTCTTACCAGTGTAGGAGAATAACCGCTCCAACTCCGACGCAGTCGAAATGAGGTGTGAACTCAGGTATGCTACGGACTACGGACGGCGTTTTCTCTCCCTCCCCCTTTCCAGCAATTTGCATGTGATTTCACACTAATTGAATATGCATTGTTCTGAATCATACAGGCTGTAGGCACCTGTGTATAAGACAGAAATTTGCATTGAGATATTGTGTCACCACTGGATACCAAGGGGTGGACAAGGTTTAATTAAGAAAATTGCTCACTTAGCAATGCATATCAGTGAACGTATTTTAATTTAACGGGATGTATAGGTTGAACTATGCTCTTTTATACGTGTAGCTGTTAAAATGTTACTTTTAAATGACAGAATCCTTGACGCAACAGGCAACATTTTTTGAAAGGTTCCGTATCCAAACAGTAACATAATTTGCGCTATGACTGCAGCGTGTCACTTCAAAGGTTTTCCGATTAGCGCCATGGCTGGTCTTTAAACGTGCATGCCGGACGCCCTGCACGACTTGTGCTGTAATAGCGCTTGGTTTCGGAAGAACCTGTTCCCCTGACAATGCTCCCATACCTCACTGTGATTCAGAGATTCCATTCAGTGGAATGCCACCAATTTCTGTCAAAGATCCCAAGAGATAATTCAACTTAAGTCACCACTGTAACATAGAAAAACTGTTTTTTTTTTTAGACGGGGTATGTGGACAGAACTAGTATAATAATGTTTGATGCTGTATTTCGAATGACAATTCATCTGTCATTCTAAGCCGTGTAATTTTTTACTCGCGATGAAGCCAGTAAAACTGGAATATCGGCGAGGGCCAGTCTGTGATTTCAGCCTTGCCCTTGTGCGATTAGTCATGGTTGCTCTGGAGATATTTACGTTTATCCGTGTGGTTCTACTACCACAAGTTCCCTAACTGCTCTTTTAATTCCTGTCGCAAATAACAACAGAAGAAAACAGCACATAACCAGCGAATGGGCACATTATTTGTGCCTAAAAGATTGTGAAGCGGTTCCACCGTACTGGAGAAATTTCGGACTGAATTTCTTATTGACAACGAGAATGAAAATCGGGAAGTTGATTCTGGGCGCTTATCGATAAGGCCCCCTCTTATGCGAGTCTTCGGTTACTAACACATAAAAGCCAATAATAATGATATTTCCCTATAGTTTTTACATTAACTAATATTATAATATACACAGCCCAGGATGGTGATTTAAATAATTTAGTTTTTTTTTTCACTAAGTGACATTAAGCCAAATGCTCCTGTTACTCTAATTGTGGGGGGAATGTATAATATACGAGGTTATGTTTTAAAGCTGTAATAATTTCACCTGTTCGTTAAATTAATTCTAATTTATTAAACCTTAGTTTATCGCCTTATTTTTCACACCGCTTCGCCTGGAGTTGATTCTGCGGATATCGGTCATTTAACTTAGGGAAACTGGAAAAATAGAAATTCCAGCTAATTTTAAATTAAAAGCAACCAGACGTTAACTCGTTTGAAAAAGCAGTGTGATCTCACAGCTGAAACGAATTAAAAAAGTTTGGGTGTTTCCCTCTGCACTCGTGATCATTATGAACGTCACCCGCTAGGAATCACTTTCATCAAATGAGCGACACATACAAGTATTTAATTTCCAGTTTTCCACCGAGCTTGGAATTGATCTGTTTGCTGTGATGAAACAAACACTCGGACACAAAAACGGAGATTTCTGTCGGCATGTTGAATGAGCAACGTGGCACTTTTATCATGTGTAGCGTCTCTCCCCTTTTCTATTACGGATGAGTCACGGGTTGATAGTGCTTATCAATGAAAGCACACAGATGTATTTTGGACTGAAGTGAGCATCATAGATTAAATGAAAAGGCAAAAATGAATGAGTATGATCTTTTATTGTGTACATTTTTAAAGACATCAAGTGAAGGGTTCAAAATGGCTCCAATGATGACTTGTCTTGAGTGCCAATATTCTGAGAGGGATTTTGTCTTGGCCTCAGCCTCCCATCAGGGGATAACAGGACTGAGAGAGTGCGAATGGTGGAGCCAGGCACCTGGTGACTGGGAGGCATCCTGTATGAAGGTGGAGGCCCTGGCTGTTTGTACAGTACCATTCAGATGAGATTGCAGTCAGACTGGTGGTGCTGCATTCCAGCACCACAGCCAGACCTCTGCACATCCACTTGTGCTGTTATTTATCAACAGAGCGTTTGTAGTTTGAGACATTCACTTAAAAATGCAGCCAGAAAGCACAAAGCACTGACTCATACACCACTGAATCTGAGAGATCTCGCTCTGGGCCAGTCTACAACTCTTCCCTCTGGTTCCCCTCGGAGTTCTCTGGCTCAGCCATCTTCCTTGTGTCTTCTTCCTCCTGCAGGAGACAGACAGCAGTCAGGCTTCATTCTGGCAGGAGGACTTTCCAACATTTCAACACCCAGGTGCTAAATCCGAAATCTTAAACATGATGACTTAACATTCGTTAGTTCCTAAGAGCCCCTTCAAAAGCCAGTTAATACCAGTTTTCTCTTTGCATAGCTGCGGTTACAATGCAAGTTCTGAGTGTTTCCAGCTTCTAAGAAATAGCCAGCACTCACCAAAATGTGAGTCTACACTTCATCATATCTACAGTTTTTAACAAACCTGAAGATACAACTAATACCGATATTTTGAAAACAAGAAGATACATTGTCAGCATGAACAACCAAAGAAGATTTATCTATTAATTAATCTATAAATGCACTGAATGATGAACTTGGTAAAATGTCCATTACCCACCTTCGCTCTCTGTTCTTTGGCTAACTCAATTTGATCCTCAACAAACTGAACAAAGTCTTCTAAAGTTCTTTTCCCAGCATAGGGGACCACCTGGGCAACAAAGAGAGGAGATTGTAGACAAATACAGACTTTTATTGATTCCAAGTGTTTGTTTTCTGTAGTCTGAAAGAAGGGCAGTTTAACACTTGACATCTGAATGATATCTGCCATGGCAATGTCAATTAGGTGAGTCTGCTATTAGCAGTATCTAGAAATCTGCCAACTGTAGAGGGATTTTTTTTACTTTTCTCTGCTATCTCCAGCCAAACACCTGCAGTTGTTGTAGGCATGATCAGTCAGGGGATAACATTTTTGATAACCTTGACTAATATAATGATTTGACCAACTACGTGAGAGTTGGGGTACAATGGAAACAAGAAGACGCAGTAACCCTTTAAGGCTGCACACGTCTGCCTTCTGTACAGCCCCTGAATTCACCGTCGTACAGCGTCACAGGCCATGGAACAGCCAGACAACACCACTCTGCAAGAGACCTGCTCCTGTCCAGACTATAATGATAGGGAGGTGCATCCAGAGCAGGAATGCAAGGGATTTACAAACCAGTTCCTCTGGGAAAACTGGAATATTTGGCATTTTGTAAGAATTTTAAGGTACAGGGCAAAAGCCCGTTTCATCCTGGGCTCCAAACATTCTGGGCGGAGCAGTGGCTCTGTGGCCGGCAGAGGAATCCTACTCTGTTGGGCCCCTGAGCAAGGCCCTTCACCCCAGCTGCTCCAGGGGCGCCGTATAAATAGCTGACCCTGTGCTCTGAGCCCAAGCTTCTCTCTCCTTGTGTGTCTCAAGGAGACCAAGCTGGGGTGTGCAAAAAGACAAATTCCTAATGCAAGAAATTGTATATGGCCAATAAAGTGATCTTATCTTATAAACATACTGAATGAGGTGATTTTCCTCCTCTGTATCTACAGTAGAAGTGTCTGTATTCCTGTCATCCTTAAAAGCCCTTGAACAGCCAGAGTTAGAGCACACCATAGATCAGTTTGGCGGCGGACACCGGTGACAGATCTTTTGTCCAAAAAGGCGTGGCGAGATCAGCACGTGGCTTGTTTGGGGGCGCACCTTCTCTGCAAGGACTGCTGGGAAGAACTTGAAGGCGGGGTGGCGCTCCTGCAGGACGGAGTGGACGTCGTTAGCGGCACTGTCTATCCTGGCGATGACCACGGTCTCGTGGTGTCCGTACACCTTGCCCAGCTTCTCCCAAACGGGGAACAGCTCCTGGCATTCCTTCGACCACGGAGCGTCTTTGCAAAGGGAAGAAGCCCCATCAGTACAGCATTCTCAGAAGAGCAGTAAGCCAGGAACATGCAGGTCAGACATAAGCACCAGCAAACACAGCACAGAGCACTGCTGTCTTAGAGAGAGGAAAAACTACAATATCCAGGGTCTGTTTCCAGCTACAGTACTGAACACACCTGGAGAACATTAAGGAATGTGCCGTGAATGAACACTTTATGAATGAATGATGAAAACCTACTCAAAGTGAATTACATATGCACAAAATATCTGTATGCTAGCTGCACTTTAAGTCTGTAGCTGTTTAGATATGTTACTACCGGGTTAATAATAATAGTTTATAATATACCCCAGGCTAAAAAGGCTTTTGAAATGTTTTTTTTTTTTTTGCAGCTCCAGTGACAGGGAAGGCTCAGCTGTTTGTTACCTGACCAGTTTCAACTAATGTTCCAGGGCTTTCAGGGGTGAGTATTTTAAGTTTTGGAAAAGGGGTGTGTATTTTTTGTGATGTGGGCTGCAAGTGTGGCCTTGAACATTTGGTGGTGGAAAGACGCTACTGTAAAAACACTCTGCCGCATTCAGGGGTTGTGATGAACATTACTGTCTTAATGCATTAAGAAAGGTCATCTAAAGCAGGTGACAAGGGGAAAGGCTGAACAGATTTGACAATGACCATTCTGACTGAAGGTCAAGATGAGATTAATCAATAATAATAATAATTCCTTACACTTAGATTGCGCTCAAAGTCCTTTACAATAATGGGGACTCCCCTCCACCACCACCAGTGTGCAGCCCCACCTGGATGATGTGATGGCAGCACTCAGTGTGGAGGAGAACAGAGTGATGAAGCCAGTTCATAGATGGGGATTATTAGGAGGCCATGATCAGAAAAGGCCAGGGAGAAATTTAGCCAGGGCACTAGGGTTAACACCCCTACTCTTTTTCAGATATTCCCTGGGATATTTAATGACCACGGAGAGTCAGGACCTCGGTTTTATGTCGTATCGGAAGGACGAGCGAACCGCTCATCTCTGCGGTCAGTGATGCTAGGGAGTTCTTTTTCTTCTTGATTGTTAATTCATTTATTTATTCAACATACTTTGGGTTTCAAAATCCCTCCTGTAGATGTGGTGATCAGACACGGGGAATGTCGAATGCCCTCCAGTTGATCAAATCCATTCCTGTCATTTTCATTTGATTTGCCCTGTGTAGTAATGGATTACAACCTGAAAAAAATAGTGTAGTTGTACTGCTTCTCTTGATAGTTACGATGTGCGATCTAAGGTTGCACTATCAAAAGTATACATGTACTTACAAAACATCACAAAAACGTTCCTCTCGTCATTGAAAACGACTCTGTCAAAGTTCACGGCAACAAGTTCTTTCACTGGATGTTTGTCCCAGTTTTCAGGAATGGGTTCGCTCTCCAGTTTGGGCTGTAAATGTGAAAGGCATCCGTGTTAAACAGATTTTGCAACAAGCTGAGTAGTGACGCCTTCTTCTGTAGCCACGAAAAGAGATTTGAGATTTGATTTGAGATCAGTTTAGATTGTGGAGAGACAGCATGCTGAGTTTGTTTTAAATGATTTATTACCTGTTTAAGAATCTGTATAGATTTTTATGTATCTACACTGCATAATTGTATTATTATGGCATTACTGCAACAATCTGTGTTTTCTTTTATATTTTTTTTATTAAGGGTGACTTCTAAGAAAAAACCCGAAAAAGAAGCTTTTCAGGTAAAAAATCTTTAACGCATTGTATTCGATATTATTATTTTATCGTATAAAATAATACCTCACAATATCATTGTCAATATTAAGCTTCCCAAAAGGTCCCCGTATAATACATCAGTCTATTTCTAGATTTGTTGAATTTATTCATCAGAAATCGATAGCTAAATTAGATCTGTTTCATATTATATACGATTGTAATAGAAATAGCGCTTCAGTTCAGAATACCTTTGCTTTGCCATCTATAAAATCCCCGCAGAATTTCCTCACGTTGTCAACAGTGACCTCTTCTGCTTGCATCTGGTACTGCACATTGTCTGTCAAATTCACAATCCGTACGGCCGGAGCGTCCACATCGCGCACTCGGAAATACTCAAAAATCCTCCCGTTTCTGCTTTCGTCGGTGTCAACAAAAATGAACAACACCTAAGGAAAAAAAAAATTATTTTAAGCAGTGCCTGTTTGATTGTATTGTTTTTTGGTGGCAGCCTTATGCATAAACAGGATTTCAGAACCTGCACCAGTGAGCGCTTCCGATCCTTACAGCATTGCCTATCCACGTCTCAGCCGGCCTCTCAAGCTACAGTATTTCATTCTAATGCTTGCTCACAAGTCAGTGAACTCATTTTAGCCTCAATGGCTATTGAGGGTATTTGTCCAGTGCTTAGTGGATGTGGAGACTGTTTTCACATCCACAAACAAGAAAACTGTCGTCTCCAGTTATAATGACATCGATCTAGGCAGAACCTCAAAAGACACCAAGTTTTCATCTCATCATGACATGACATTGACTGGCAGAATAATGCATTTCTTAACAGTTCTTTAATAGGCTGTTCACAAATCCAATAAATATAACTGAGCATTTCATGGGCAGGCTATTATTTGAATTATTCCAGTCGATGTGAATGCTAGTTTACAGTTTTCGACAGCGTTCCTGGCTGCTGGTGTCCTGTGGAGACAGGATCTGTTTTATCCTCCACACTGATTGACTAATTCCACGCTAATCCATCTGATAGCTGGTGTGTGGGGAGCGTTCTGGCGCACTATGGCTGCCGTCGCATCATCCAGGTGGGGCTGCACACTGGTGGTGGTGGAGGGGAGTCCCCATTACCTGTAAAGCGCTTTGAATGGAGTGTCCAGAAAAATGCTTTATAAGTGTAAGCAATTATTATTATTATAATTATAATTGCCAGCTGCTTTTGTCTGACTTGATGACAATACCTCGCCCCTGAATTCGGCAGCAACAGCCTCAAAGGTCCCGTGGAGGTCTCTAAAGTCTTCTGCGCTCTTGTTTGCAAACAGTAAAATGTGATTGGTCACGAGAGAGCCAAATATCTTCACTGACGTCTAGCGTGGAAAAACAAGACAGACAAACACGGAGAAGATGAGCTTGGGGAGACATTTGTGCCCTGGTGCTCTTGTGAATCTTAAGCAGCTCTTTCATACTCACCTCTCCGTTATATTCAGTCACCAGATCCATTTCATGCACCCTGAGGAATTTGATCAGACTCTCTTTCAGGGTCTCACTGGAGACTTCGTATTCTTTGAGCACTTCAGACTGAAGCAAAGCAACACATTCAAATTCAATTTCAGGGCAAAAGTCAGTTCAAAACCCGTTAGCACCTGAGAGCTTCACAATTACTTCAATTCTAAGTAATAAAACAGAAGAAGATAAAGAGGAGAGCAAGTGGGAGTGGGTTTTGTGATATTAATTACATCAGCTCAGCTCAGCCCAGGGGTCTGTGTGTAACAAGGTAGGCAGGTCCCTTTTCAGGCCTTCAAGCCCCATGGAAACGGGGGTAAGGGCCAACATTTTTCTTGACTATCCAACACTGGAGGTGGAGGTGATGTGGTGAGCATTACACTCCAGCCAGCCTATTATGCCTGGTACTCCTTTGGAGAGCAGGCTCAGTGGACCTCGGAGCCATCTGGAAGGAATTAGAGCAAGCTCCATCACTTGCCCCTACCTGGGATTGAACCTGGGACCTTCTGGTTAGGAGCTAGACACCCTTGCCGTCTGAGCTACCACAGCTCTGGGTGTATGATGGAGTTGTACTGATTATAAGGACAGGGCTGATTTTGGGGCCAATCGCTGGGCACTCATTGGACCTGCACAACGTCTCTCCTACCTGTTTAAATAACACCACCGTGTCTCTGTCTTTCCTGACTTTGTATTTGCTGAACAGGCTCTTGTTTTTGGTCACTCCAAAGGGCAGGTCAGGGATGTCAACAGCGGCTTCGTAAAAGGTTTTCACCGCACCTTCCTCCAGGTCCTGCAGCCCAGCGAGAGCAAAAGCACATTAAAACAAGTGAAGGCGGTGGAGGACAGGATTTCGCTGAGTAAGTGCGGCGTGTGTGTGTGTGTTACACTGTTCAAACCAGTCTTGTGGTGGTCAGAACACAGTCAATATGCCTGTTGAGGAAGCTTCAGGGCAGAGTAAGGAACTATCCAACATGGAGAAAAACATTTCCACCAGACGCAGCGGAAAAGTGCTTTCCTGCAGGGCACCGGTTGTTATGAGCTTGTTCCTCATTTGTTGTGGCTTATGCGTACATTATTTCCTTGTAACAGCATCAGGTGAAACATTTACCTGGAAGAAGCCCAGGACGACCACATCGCCCAACTTGAAGAACTCCTCTGCTTGGCTGCGGTCCTTGATGAGCTCTGCACTGCGGCCTGTCCTCCTCTCCAGCCAGGTCACGATGGAGGTAGCTGTTCTCAGCACTGCTTTCCCATAAACACAGATTGCTTAACCACTGTCGTGACAGTACCTTAGCCTAAAAAGCAGGTTTGGCGTTTAGCTAGCTCAAGCTCTGTATGACGTACGTTCCCTTGTAAAGAATTTGAAAAGGATGTCAACATGTGAGGGCGAAACACGGGCTGAATTAATACCCAGGTGCAACTGGGTTCCATGAGAAAAAGGGCAAGGAGAGACAAAAAAGAGGAAGAGTGTGTGAGGGGTTTTGGGTGCTGAAATGCACACATACAGTACGTACTGTACCTGGGCAGATGACAGGGTTTTCTTTATCGCCTGAGATGTAAAACCAGAGGGCTGGATAGGCAGTGACGTTGAGCTCGTTGGCCAGGTCCTTCTCCTTGGACACATCGATCAGACCCAGACGGATCCTAGAGCCCTGACTCTTCAGCCGGGCGGCAGCAGCGGTGAACTCCCGGGACAGGCTCTGAGAGTCTCCAGACAGAGGAGCATCTGCGGGAAGCATGAGCATGGGCACGTCACGACTGCCCCTATGGTACCTGCAGCTGCTTAACATCATTCCTCATTTCCAGGTGGCTGATTCAGGTTCAAAACACAGCTCTGGGGGGTTTGCAAAGATATTGTCCAGCACTGTTAATGACGTTGCGGTATTTGGAGAGATAAGCATTTTATTCTGAATGTCTCACTGTCTGATCCCTTTGACTAGTCAGAATAGATCAACCCCCTAGGTCTAGAAGTACTAGAAATCAACCAATGACTATAGGAATCAATGGTCAGAGTTAGGCGCTTGGTGCTTGATAATGCATACAATAATGCTCCAGTTTCTGCTGCCGTAGCCCAGCTTTGAGCCTGCTATGTGTTCAGGCTTATCAGGAGTGGTGCATGATAAAGCATGTTGTCTTTTACACTCAACCTTTCAATGAAGCCTTTGTGCAGTGCATGATGGAAGTGGTAGGAGTTTAAATATACTTTCCGTCTTAAAGATTGAAGAATAGTCAATAACTGAAAAATGTTATCACCACAGTGTTGTATGTACTGTATCGTAAAATAGTTTCTGCTGTATGGTTTGTGGCGCACCGAACAATGACGTGGTCTAGTTATGCCTTGATAACCAAATGCTGTCTTGGGACGTCTTTACCAGGGTTTTGCAGAAACATCAGTGTAGCACCTTTTCAAAATTTCAAAAACGTCCTACCTGCCTTCACAACTATCTTGAAATGTCTTTATCACACTAAGATCTTCAGTTCCAGACAGCCTCTGTTCTCGGGGTTTATAGGACAAATTAAAGCAGTAACTGTTTTCATTCTGAGGGGTCTGGTTCCCAAGCATGGGGTTGTAACTAATTTCCTAGCTTCTCTGGAAAAAAAAATGGCTAAACAAGTCCTTGGATCAATTAGTTACTAAAAGTCCAGATGCGCTCCACTGGCATCCTGTCATTTGTAAACATATGCTCTGTGTTTCAGTAGCTGAGGGTCAGTATGGAGTGACCAGACCAGACCAGGAGTGGAAATAGGACGTTTGAACGTGAGAAGAGTTTTTGCAATTTAGTTTCTAAAAGACGTTTGCACTACTGGTTGTCGTTCTGTGTTTAAGTCAGTGCTTTTAAAACAATTAAATAGCCTGTGTAATACAACAGCTGGCACCTGCTGTTCAAGAAATGAGATAAGTGCACTTATCTGCAATAAAAGCCCTACAATCCCGGTGTGAGTAAAAACATGCTCACAGATCCCCAGCTCAGTACTTACGGAAATCCACCAGCAAGTACTTGTGCTGCCTAAGAGCCTGGTCGAAGTTGCTTTTCTTTAGCACGAGGACACCGTTTTCTTCATTGATTTTCGCAGGTTTCTCTTTCTTGGCCGGGGGGACACTGTCCCCGGAGCTCTCCAGTGTCGAATTCCCCGCGACCGCAGCGCAGAGACACGCCGCGCTGAGGAGGAAGAGGCTCGGTGTCTTCATGCTGGCACAGCGAGGAGGAGGAGGAGGAGGAGAGGCAGAGACGCTGACCTCCAGAAGGGCTGCCGGTGGCTCTGAAGAAAGCCGAGTGAGGAAACGTGCTCCTCGCTAAGTAAGGCACCACGTGGGCACGCCGCCTTTCCCACTGATAACACCGTGTACTTTGGTAATGGATGGAATTTATCACCGTGAGTTTAACCCTGATTGAATAAAGCAAGGTGACTGCACACATTTAAAAGCAGAGTCAGTTGGGGGTCTTGTATAGCATTGCCTTAGCAAACTAGACCCATTTGGCTAAAATTAAAACAAAAAAGACAGCAATCGTTTGCCCTCAGAGGCAAGAGGGTGCTTTGCTAATATTCTCTGTAGAATAAATTACCACAGCGAAGGAATAAGACGTCTGCACTACAGTAAAGAGCGTCATTCCAGCTTTTTCAAGTTGAAGCTGGTTACTCACTCTTGTATTCGACTTTTGCAGTGGGTGTCTTCTCCCTGCTCAATGTACTGTAGCTCTCGTACTGAATTTCTTTGGTCCAGTGCTCGGAGAGGACGAGGAAATGTGCAGTTGGCTTCTCCTAGCACAACACAGCCCAGATAACCCTGTGACGCACACCCTGGCAGGTCAGAAGGCCAGCTGGAATGAGGAGCACTGTGGCACTAAGCTAGGAAGTGGTTTTTAATGAAATAGCAGGACCACCCATCAGACTGAGGCTGTGTAGTGATTCATTTCTGGTCAGGTTGCAGGGTTACAAAGTTGTATAATAAAGCTAATTTGTACATATAAAAGCCTACACACATGTCAAAGATCTATGCAATAGCATCCTTCTTCATTGTGGTTCTGCTATCAGTCTTCTTGGGGACAAGAGAGCATGTTTAACCTGATTTGGAGATAGCAAGGTGAGCTCTGGTTGCTAGAACATAAAGCTTCTCACATTAGCTAGCCAGTCCTGGCACCCCTCGAGTCTGTTAGTTACTTCAAAGGAGCAGCTGCAGGGTTTCCTTGTGTCTGACACTCAGCTCCAGCTCTAGAAGCAGATCGCTAACGAAGCAGCTCCCCGCTTTTGACAGATTTCAGTTTTAATTCATGTGTAAAAGACAGAAACACAAAAGTAGAAACACCAGATATCTTTGTAGTCACAAATGAATATGTTCCTACTCAGCATGATGATTTATGCATTTCAGAGCAAAAGTTAAATATGTATAGTAGTTGAGTCTAGGAACAAAGAGCTATGATATTTAACAGCAGCAGCAGGAGGAGATAGAACTGTATTAAAAAAGTTGATTAGAAGCATTCACCATCCAGAATACCAGAACAGCCAACTGCTATTTATGTACATTTGTATATGCTTATCGTCCTCCTATAGTTTGATGGGATCCACAAATATGTTTGGAGTCTGTTTTATACCTAAGAAAATGTACAACATTTTTTAAAACCATGTTTCGGTGATCTCTGATTCTTGTTCCATGCAACAAGCACAGACCATAGAGCTGCTGAGAAGCACGAGGCTGAAGGAGCAAGAGAGATTCTGATCACATTCTCTTGTGGATGTGGAGATTCTGGTGGCACTGAGGGCAGCTGTGATGGGCGTCCATTAAACTGGTCACAAAAAACGGCAGGAGGCAACATCCGCAGATAAGCCTAGGAAACAGAAAGTTTCTGATGTCAGTTTTGTACAGTTGGAATTTTTACTATTGCCAATTTTGCGATGCTCGCAAACGTCTACCTAAACAACAGTTTTGTTAATGTCGTAATGATTGTCGTACATTTTTTTTGTCGGTATTAACCAGTTCTACTGTGTGGTGGGAGACTGTATTGTTTCTTCCTAATTTGCTCTAACCTTCTGTTGGCTTGAATACCAAAGGTTGTCATGTCTGTGGAAATCCTGCATGTCCTGTTTTTCTTTCTCTTGCAAAGTTGCCCTTCACCTCTCCTGCTGCTCTTAATACATTCCTCTACCACCCTCATGGCTGTAAAATGCCATTGATGTGTGTCACTGATAGTCTCAGGTATGAATATTTTCTAAACTTGTTTTCCGTGGTTTCCGAACTCATTTTAACTGAGTGTAGGGCATTCCATTTTTAATTTTTATCAGTGCAAGGATTGCTTGGGTTGTTTACCTTTAGAACTTAAAGGCATTGTAGGTTTGTGGAGAATGTGGTTTGAGTTCCTTCAACCTGCTGGAGTATTTTCAGTGTTCAAGGAAGAAGACAGCAAATGATTACGATGTCAGCTGTTATTTAGTGACAGAGGCGGAGATCATTTAAAGAGTTTGATTTGTCACCTGTGGTGGAAGGGGACAGCTCGTTCTGAAAACTGCTCTTTCTCTCCGCTTGCAGAGAGAGTCTTCCAGTGCACTCGTGAATCGCAGTGCTGTACTCACCCGAAAAGGATAAACAACAAGCACAGCATCCAGGAGAAGACTCCTGGTTTATAGATGACCTTCGTCATGACCCTCTGCTTGCAGTTGCTGCAGGTTGTCATGCTGGGCGTGTCTCCCAGGTTGGAGGAGACAACCACGACCTGCTGCATGGGCACAAAGACGGTCTGGCCAGCCTGCACTGTGGAGAGACAAATGGCACCATGCAGATCCGAAACAAAGCACACAGACATGTCCTTCTGGAGCCGGGCCCATCCCCCACAGGTACAGGAGCCTAGTCTGAGAGACCCAAGGTCTGGGTGCACCTTGGTCACATCTTGTTACGCCGTTGAGCCACACATGTGAAATGAATGGCCTGGGGAAAGCTGACAAGCTCACTAACCATACTTGCCTTCAGAAAAGGTTTTATAAAAGTTCACCCTGGCAGATTTGCCATAGGTGTCCTACACTTCCGGTGCAACACTGCACTGTGTTAATAGTCCTCATGGTACATGTTTGGATCAAGACTGGGGCTTTGTCTGCATTGACCCACTTCTTTCCAAAAGAACAGTACAAGGAGGTACATACCCTGGGCCTGCGGCTGGTTCTGCACCACCGGTGCTGCAGCGCTAACAGGCACCGTGGACTGTGGCTGGGGGGCGCACACGTTGATGTGAATGTTGCCCGAGTTCTCACTCTGAGCCCCGTAGCCGACTTTTGCATTCGAACCCTTGGGCGGATCTGTGGGGAAGAGAAAATCCTCTCAAGGTTTCTAAAGGGGTCTGCGCAGTGGCGCCATCACGGCTCATTCCGACAATGGCTGCAACCTGAACCCCAGCGGAACGATAAGGGACAGACGCTCTCTTCGCGTTCTGATGTTGATCGCGGTGATAGATTGAGGTGCGGTGGAAACTCCAGACCTCACATGAGGGTTAAAGGCTGAGTTCCTGGTGCCTACCGCCAGAGGAAAACCTTATTCCGATGACTGTGGGAGGCAGTCGGAATTCAGCATGGAGAGATTTGCTCCCACGCAAGCTGCAGGAGCTGACGTACCTGTTTCCTGGTAAGCGGGCGGAGTGGGGAGGGCCGCATCTACCTCGCTGTAGGAAGGTGCTCTGGGGAACTGAGTTGTGTCCAGCTCGGAGGCAGGCTGCATTTTGTCCTAAATGCGTGATTGCTGGGGAAAATGGGGGAGAAAAAGGAAGGTAGTTGTGAATTCTTTGCTCACGTGGCACACAACGAGTGTCTCACCTGGCTGCTGCAGGGGACAGAGCCAGGTGAGACACTTCCTGAGCAGGGACACAGCAGCCTGTCCACGTCGGTGAAGGAGACGGGGCTCGTCCAGTTACAGAACCTGGTACAGCTGGTACAGGGCACCGAGCAGTAGTTGATTGCTCCTTAAAGACAGGTTTGGATTAAAGATGACATGAAATCTTCCACCTGTTTTCTCAAGATTTGTCATATCAAGAAATGAGAAATTTAAAGGCGAAATAAATAAAGAAAATTCTGTTAATTTAAAGCAACTTAGATTTTCACCATGTTGACTAGTATTTCAAGAGTAAGCAAGAGCTCGGGCTTAAAATCATGTGGAACCAACACAAATGTATAACAATGTTAATAATGATGAAAATAGATGAAATACATAATAACTAGTCATTAATCATTTTACATTCTTGTAACGCTCAAGGCAGTTAAAGAATAATGATAAGGAAAGAGCATTTTGTACTCCAGGAAAACATTGATTTTCTAAAAAATGTTTAATCCACAAAATTAAAAATGGATAATATTAAGCTTTCAAAAGTGAAATACATAATTTAATCCAGACCTTTTCTGACAGTTTAATTCTTAGTTCTTTCTTCTAAACAATACAAAAGAGTATTGGAAATAACAGTCACCATTAAATGGGGGCAGAAATATTTGGTTTCTCACAAAAAGCCAAATAATGAAATTAGATTAATAAGCAGTTTTAACACAGTGAGGAAGTCCCATGCAAATACTTTTACACATTCCCCATAGTCAAAGGACCATAAACTGAACAACAGAATAAACAAGAATTAGCCACAAAAACAAGCAAAAGCAGCAATGCAATTCTTTGTTTTATTAATAACAATTAATGTCTGTGTATCTGATGAACATTTTACTCCCTGCTGCGGCTGAATGGTGCATTCATTGATCTGAAATAAATGCTTGATTTCTCTGCTGGCTGAAGTGCTATATCGATACATAAATACATGAACGATTGTGTCAATTGACTAAAAAATGAAAACGTTGAGCTGTCGGTCAGTTTAGATGTGAGTGAGGAAATGGCAGGAAAAATAGATTCTTACCCTACAAATGATCAGTCGGAGCTTGGGAAGGGAAATGAAAGCTATTTAAATACAAAACCTCTTTAGAAGGCTGTTTTCAGATCTCTCTCCCCTTTTTCATCCACTCTCTTCACCCGTCTGTGGAAGTGAGCTAGTACAGCCTGTTTGTGTTCTCTAAATGGTGTTTGGCAGTTGTTTATTTCAAGCTACATTCCTGCGTCTAGGTCTTTGCCTCTTAGACACACCCTGCAGCGGGTGGACAAAATAAAACTGGCAGACCACGCACCGAAAATGAAAGTTTTCCTTGATTCGGGGTGTAAGGCAAAATAACCAAGACGCAAATCAAAACCTAAGCTTGTCTTTGAGCTGCGAACTATGCACCCACTCCACAAGCTCCGCTGAGCTGCTTACCAGCTCAAAGACTGAGACTCTCACTGAGCCTCCTCCAGGAACTCCCCCGTATCACTGGGCACTTGCTCGCTCAGTTGGTCAGTCAGCTGGCTGGTCCATCAGTTCATCGTTTGCTGGCTTTCAGATATAGCCAGATTTTATTTACTAGCTCATCTACAAAAATGACATCTGTTGAATTTGAATAAATAGTCTCCATTCTTAGATTTTTCTTTATTCTTTGCTACTTTCAGTGTTCCATTCTCAGGATTCAGCTTATTACATAAAGTATTTCTGTTGGATACTGGGCATTTGGGGGTAAATTCTGCTTTGCAATTAATTTTCAAATGAGGTCTGTGTTGTTGTTGCTACAGAAGTGACCAGTGACTGTCCTGTCTGTAAAATGAGCCACCTGAGTTGGGACAGTGTGACCTTGCTTCTCGAATAGGGATATATTTTTTTAGAATCCGCAACGAAAAGATAAGATCTGAAATTTGAGCTTCAGTTTCTGTGTTAACCTGGGTGAATCGCACAATCAGCCATTTCAGCAAAACCTAAAGTTGACCAAACTTGTCGTGAATTGCACATAGAACACACATGACTTGTAAATGTCAATAGAGTCCTGCAAAATATTAATGAACGTACATCAGCGGTCATAAATTAAAATCAGCAAAAAAAACTACACACAGAAACTTGAGACACAAAACCTTCTGCATTCTTCACATAGTACAAGAGACAAGACAGGAAAATCAATAAGAGTTGAAAACTCTTCAACTGAGCTTCACTTTAAGATGCACAGTCATGTAACACAAGATGATCACTGATAAGGACAAGGCATTAAGAGCCCAGGACCTGTCTGAGATGGGAAATCAAAGTAAGCTGAACAAAAGTAACAAGATACTTTTGACAAAATGTCTATAAATCATGCAACTCTTTCATTTGTAACTAGGGTGTACACTACATCAATGTGTCAGATCTCTTTCCTAAAAAATAACAGTAAAACCCTCTTTCTTCCAATCATAAACACTCCCATAAACAGTATAATTAAAACAGATGAATTTCTCTCCCTGCCTGTGACATCAAAGCTGAGCAAATAATACTGAGCCACTCACCTCTGGGTGAGTAGAACTCTAGAAGCTCAGACTGTGACTACAGCTTCAGCGCTGCTTTAGCAATTGAAAACGTTTACTTGAATTTGGTTATAGAATACAGGTACATAGATTGGTTTTTTCTCGCCCTGTTAATGTTTTGGAGTAGCAGCAACTGCAAGATCATATTACACCATGTTCTTGAAAGTCTCAACTCATGTCTGCACAGGACATAAAAAGAACAGTGTGTGTTTATGCATGTTTCTATAAAGGTAAATATTTCCTTATTTTTATGTCATAGGAGGTACTTAAATGTTAATACTGTAGTGACAATGGCCAAATAATCACAACTTTTGCATCTAGGCTGTGTCATACACCACATTGCAAGTCAGTGAAATTTTGAATAGTGGGAAGACTCACTCTTTGGGTTGTGTAAACAGTTGACTTGACTGAAACAGAAGTGATCTGTAGCTCGGCGACCTCAGGCTTCTCTTCAGATGAGCACAGAAGTGTACAGGATTGTCAAAATGTGCAAATCTGGTCTTGTGCTTTAAAACACAATCTTGTGTTACAGTTTTAAAAAATCTGGTAAAAGAAGTGGCCTGGCACAATGCATTTTATTTTATATAACCAAATGGTGACATTTTAAAAAAGTAAATAAAAATAAGTAAGAGGTTTTACAGAATTGGTTGGTTCGACCTAACACAGTGCAGCTTTCACACAGTAGTAATGTCACTTTTTATCTCAAGTCTTGGGATGTATGTTTAAAAACGTCCTAAACATATTCATCAATTTAAAAGAGAGATGTACACTGTAATACCACAAAAGAAACAGGCTTATTGCTGGAATGAGTATTGGTACAGATAGGAGCTAAATAAGCAGTTTTATTCAGATGCAGTAGAAATCATAATTCATCCTTTGACGTCTCATTGGCTTGTGTTGGTATGTCTGTAGTGGTATCAGACTCCTCAGAGACCTAGAAAACACAGAATGAAATCTTAAATAGGAATCCTTACTGTATATGGTCATTTCCAGTAATTTCACTTTGTACGTTTTAATACTGTCAACCCGAAACACCAGGGACAGACTATGAGGAGACCAGTCTGTAATACATTATTATGGGTGTGTTAAGGGCCACATTTCCCCATTGAGAAAATGTGCACAGTTCATTTGTCTGCTCAAAGGAGACATTTTGGCCTTAAGCCTGGCAGAATGGTGACATTTACCTCTTCTTCCTCCTCAGGCAGTTCACCTCCATTATCCAGAAATTTGGAAAACGTCTCCAGATCTCGCCGGCCATCATAGTCCACAATCTGCGCAATGAAGGCAAATTTCAAAAGCTCCGATCGGCAAAGAAAGTTACAGAGTAGCAGTTGTAGACTGACTGTTTCGGCTGTTTAGTACTGCAACAACGAGAAGTGTCCGCCAGGCAGTTCTACAGATCCTGTGCACAACAAAGTAAACCACATAGATGGTCAGGTACGCTTTTACCGCAGTGCTGGGAAAACATAGATTTAAAAAGGTGTCAGTGATCAAGGGTTTTTATTGTGGATCAGCTGCAGCCAGAGTTACTTTCCTTGTGCCTGGCAACTAGAAATGATCAGCAAAGCTTTCCAGCACCCCAGTTCCAGACACACTTACAGGGGAGCTCCCTCCTCACCTTTCTCTCTGTGCCAGCTGGGAAATATTTGATCGTAGGGAATCCAGACACGGTGAGCCCCTCGACGTCGTTGGCGGTGGCGTCCATATTGGCAATGATAATGTTCTCGTGGTCTTTGTATTTTTCTCCCAGCTGCTCCCAGACGGGCGCCAGCTCTTTGCAGTGGGCACACCAGGGGGCATCTTTCAAACAGGCATGGTAAGAAATGTCAGGCTTCCCCGAGTTTGTGATGTGATTCCAAGCTCTTTATGTATTTTTTTTTTAAAAAAGGTAAGCAGCCTTTCTGAAAAATAAAATTGGCTTTGCCACCTTCGAAATGTCAACACTATCAAGTGTGCGGCGCAAAGTCTGACAGATGTGTTTCTGTACTTTTACATTTTTTTGTGATACACCAGTAAGCACTGCGGAGAAATGTGGCCGGACTTTGAAGTCTGTACCTGACGGTGGGGCATTACTGAGGTTCAGCAGAGGGTCATGAAAAGGCAAAATTGCAGATCGCACAAACCAAAGACCGACCTGGACTGAACATTCAAGAGTCTAGAGGGCTTTTTCGGTCCCCGACATTTCTTCTCATGGAAGGTGGTTTTTATCCCCATCGTTATATAATAAAAGCAGTTTGTTGGCATGTACTGTGCCTACATGGGTGTTCGCCTCACGAGTGGGCTACTGTACTCACATTTCAATTGACCAGCAGGGCTCTGAACCTTTCCCCACAGCCGAGTGGGGGTGAGTAGACTTAAGGTGTTTTTTTGGGCTACTTACAGAATTCTACAAAGACGTTCTTGGTTTCAGCGAAGGCCACTTGTTCAAAGTTTTTGCCCACCAGAACCTTCACGGGCTTCTTATCCCAGTCCTCTGGGACTTCCTGGCTCATGAGGTGGGGCTGAGGAAGAATGGGAAAGTGGCAGGAGAGTTGGGGGGGTCACACTTGGGGCTCTGCTACCATTACGGCTGGGGTCCGTGACCGAGAGGCCCCGAGGCGGACGGTACCTTGACTGTCCTGTCCAGCACGCCCCGGCACAGAGCGCTCAGGCTCTCGGCGGTGATGGCCTGCTCCCCCAGCGAGTACTTCTTCGCCGTGTCGATGTCGACGAGGCGGACGGTGGGGGCGTCCCGGCTGCTCAGCCCGAAGTAGCTCAGCACGTGCTCGTGGTCGGGGGAGACGTCGATCAGAATGAACAGCACCTACAGCAGCGAGAGAGGAGGTCAAGACGGAGCCCTCCCCTGTCTTCGAGGACAAGTCGATGGGCTGGAGAAACCAGGCTGTAGCATGAATGACTGCCTTTGCCCTATGAGACTTTGTGGGAGGAATTTTATCTATTAAAAAAAGCAAGATAAATGTGTTTAAAACCCCCTGCTTTGCTGGTGGATCACCGGAGACAATCCGCACAAGGATGTTGATTTTGTACTCCTTTTTCAGGCCTATAAACACACTGGGGAGCTAGGGAACGCTGTTTCTCACCTGGCCGGTGAACTCTGACGCCACCCCTCGGAAAGACTCCAGCAGCTGGAGGTGCTCCCCCACGGTCTTGTTGATGAAGAGCAGTAAGTGATGGTTTATTTTCGCATCGAAAATCCTGTGGGCGTTCTGGAAAGGGAGACGAGGGTAAATTCACGCTCACATAGGGGAGCGGCCCAGCGCTATTGAACTGCGAGAATGAAGAACGCAGCCGAGCGCCGTGACGGTACTGTACCTGCTCGTTGAACTCGACGACGCGCTCAAGCGCATTGACCCTAATAAACCTGTCCACCATTTCTTTACTCAGCTGTGCGTCCTCTGGCATTTCCAAATCGGCACGTTTCTCATCGAACTGTAGCAGTACAAACAAAAAAAACATTAAACTGGGATTAAACAGGGAGGCGTTAAAACCAATACTTTTCTGAGACATAAGATTTATTTGGAATTTTCAGTTTAACCGCGAAGAGATCTTTTTATTTTCATAGTTCCATTTGAGCTTTTTTATTACTTAACGGACTTTTTATGACAACTTTGTTTTTTTTATTCTCAAATAGTTTGTAAGTCGTACCCGCACCGGATCCGATCATAGGTAGGGCGGAGACTGTACCGTGCAGTGAGGAAGGCTCAGCTGTTACAAGTATTGGCCACCAGGTGGAGTTTGTTCGAGGTGTCATCCAGACGCCTGCGAAAACTCAACTTCCGTACCTTTTTGAATAATACAATTCTGTTCTTGGAAACCTCGTAGTTCTGGAAAATGTCAGGACTACTCGTGATACCGAATGTGATGTCTGCTCTGTCGAGAGCCGTTTCGTTGAAGGCCTTGACGTCCTCGCTCTCCATGTCCTGAAAAGACATTGAAACGCTTGATACTGAATATGATACGACGCCAGACAGTGGCTGGCGAACGAAATTGTAAATATATGCGATCTTGGGTTGAAGAAAAATAAGATTTAACCAGAAAGCATTAACATACATATGTATCTGTAAATGATATGCGATGCATAAGCAGCTGCAAAAAAAAGCATATGCTAACATATCGGTAGTGGCTTTAATCAAACATATGAGCACTTGTTGCTCTTTTAATGCCTGTCAGTTTGTGTTATATATCTGTAAATGGATATGAAAGGGCACTTACTGTAAAGAAACCGATAACAGTGACATTATTTGCATCGATAAGGTCCTGAGCACTGGCCACGCTCTCAAGAACTGTGGAAACTGGCCCTGTTCGCCGTTTCAGCCACTGGACAATCCCCAAGGCCTTCCTCTTCCCTGAAGTCATACAAGCGCAAATAAAGATTCCCAAATCTCCCCAACCTTCTTAATAGGCGAAGAAGGAAAGACCTTCATACTGTCTGATTTTCTGCTCTTCGGTTCTGGTTTAAAAAGGCTGTTGACCTTCATGTCTGCAAGACCAGCAGTGAACTAGATGTGGTTACTTTCTGAGCCTAAAGTCCTTGGGCACAGTGCCATTCACATCAAATTGTTGCAGGCCTTATGAGATACTCTCCCATTGTAATGACTCCTACTCTTATTATAACATGCTTTCCTTATTTTCAAAGCTCTGTAGTCGGCTACACATTTCATGACAGCTAAACTACTTTTTATATCTATGAATTTGGACCACAGGTGTGTGCTATCTTCACCCTGAAGACCCCAAGGTTCAAACCTTGTGTGACCCTGGACTGCGGCAACCCGTACCTGTAAATTCGATGGGAGTTTTCCTGTCCCCGTCTTTGAAGAGTTTCAGGATAGGAAAGCTACTAATCTGAAACTCCTCGGCCAGCCCTTTCTGCTCGGTGGCATCCACCTTCGCCAGCCTGATGTCGCTGGACTCAGTCTTCAGGATGCCAGCGGCTTCGGCGTATTCGGGTTCGAGCGCCTGGCAGTGTCCACACCAGGGCGCGTCTGGAAAGGCAGAGACAAGCGTCGCTCAGCGCGGCCTTCCCTGTGTCTTTAGCTACACGCCAATGCAGGACTGACATGCTGCTCACAAACAGCTTGAAGAGGCACAAAGTCTTTTATAACAGAAAGAGGGAGGTTCATTTTTTTTGCTATATTAACTTGTAATAACTAACTTGTGCCATTTAATTGATATGACATGGGCCTCGGGAGAGGGAGGGTTTTTTTTTTAGTCAAGTGTTTGTTTTCGACACCTGGATTAAACCAGAAGACATTATGGTGATTAATTGATGTACTGTAACAATGGAAGTGCTTTCAAAATCAATGATATCAAATGCTTATTGTTCCCCACTGAATGGTGATTATTTTCTCCTCAGGTTTGTTCTTGAATACTGATTTACAGACAAAATAGACTGACACAAGATTTCTCTCGCATTATAGGCTTCATCACTCTGTTCTCCTCCCGACTGAGAGCTGGTAGGTGGGGAGCGTACTGGTGCACTATGGCTGCCGTCGCATCATCCAGGTGAGGCCGCACACTGGTGGTGGTGGAGGGGAGTCCCCATGACCTGTTAAACTCCTCTGAGTGGAGCGTCCAGAAAAGTGCTATAAGCAATTATTATTATTTTATAAGACCATTCCACAAGTCTATATAGCATTGGCTTTTTGAAGATGCTTCTCCGCATGTAATAAAAAAGTAATTTTCGGTAGGTCTGTGTACCCTTATCTACAGCTGCGAAGGCAGTGCAGTTAATTATTATTCAGCAAATTTAACTAAAACCGCACCGGTGAGAACCTTTCCATCTGTTAACTGTTGAAGTCGGACAAATGCCTGAGCTGATAATCGAGTAAATTTTCATTTTCTGTGTCACTAGTTTCACGAGTGGTGACGCCTTTGCATACAATTAGTCGACTGTTCTTCAATTGAATTTTAAAGTTTACACCACTGCGACACGTCCACTGTGCAATGTGTTAGCTACAACTAACGAAATTATCAATTTCTGCGATCTTGGACTCCCCTGATAAATTAGAATTTGTTTGTTAATTGTTTAATAGGAAAGTAGACGAGTTAAGTCAGGGGGGAAAAGCTATTACTTAAAAACACCCTACTCAGAACTAGTTGCGCTATACTTACAAAACTCCACAAGAAGGAACTTGTTTTCACTCAGCGCCCTGGCGAAATTATCCTGATGAAGGACCATAATGCCCTTTTCTTCGGCAATTTCATCAGGTTTGACATCTTCCTTTTCCTGTGCATCCGCAGAAGGATCTTCGACTTCGGCTCTGGCTGGCGAGAGAGTGGCCAGCGCCCAGGACAGGAGAAGCAGGTGTAGCCTCATGGTGCCGCACCTCGCCGCTCGGAATGAATGATGCCTGAGAACTGTCCGGCCGCACCGGTGCTGATAAAGCGGAGACACCCGTGACGAGTCACACAGGAGCCGGCGTGTAAGCTTGCTACTGGTTTCATCTCCCTGCCTTGGTGGGAGTTGCCAAATTCGGGAAAAGCAGCTTCCTCGAGTGATAACCATAACTTTCCCTGGCGGCTGCGACACAACGTTTAATACATTGTGTAATTTCATACAGGCCTACAATGCAATGAATGCTGTTCTAGTGGGTTTGGTTTCTCTCCAGTCGATATTTACGCAGAAATGCAAGGCTTTTAGTTACATCGGTGAGTGGAATATCACAGTTTAGAAACCATTAGAATTTGTGGTCATTAATTAAAATAAGTAGGGTTAGTTCGAAACTAGCATAGAATACTTTAGCTTTTTTTAAAATTCAAATATTTTACAGCTACATTTGTACGTCGCAAGAGCCTTAACCTTTGTATTAAATTACGTTATTTTTTGTGTTTACTGGAGCACTCTAGCAAATGATTAAACTATTAGAGCTACTATTCAGAAGACGTAATAACATCATGGAACGTTCTTCCCTAGAGAGGCAGAACGTAATGTTAACGCAATAAGACAAGGCGTAGAAGTGCTGAAAATATTCTAACACCTAATTTCTAATAGACCGCATTTATCACTGCAGCTTCAATAACTTTTTTTTACAGACCATATACGAAGGGTGCTGTGTTTGTGGTAGAAAATCTAGGTTGCGTGTCTTTTAATGGACCCTTGTGATTGGCGGCGCTCGGGGGGTTGTTTCTTGGGTAACGGACTGTAATCAGCCTATGAATCCAGTCGATCCCGGGTCGATCGGATTCATAGCAGCTGCACGTGGCTCACTGCCGCCGTCTGTTCAGCTTCTCCCGGCAGGTGAAGCAGTCCGGCAGGCACAGATACTGGGACACGTCGCATTCAGAAAGAGAGGTCACTGTGCTCAACCCTGTGATCGAGCAGGAAACTGGTAGGTTAGGAAAAGGAGTTGTGTTTAGGCATAATAGATTGACAGCCTGTTAGGGGTTTTAGGACTGTGAGTGCAGTCAAAATACACTTATTATAAAGCCGATCAGTGAAAGCTAAGGGCATGTTCATCCAGTGGACAAAGGTGTAACTGCAATAGTACTTAACAGACAGGACAAATGTTTATTAAAACACAAGTTGCCTGAAGAACTGGAACAGACTTGATTTCCAAGATACATTCCAAGAAGCATTTTTACCTTGAGAGGTTAGCGTAGAGGACACAGACTCACGGAACAATAAGCAATTTATTTGTATAAAAGAACAGAAATGATGTTGCAGTCTTAAAGCACACTTTTAAACTCTCTGCACAGTTCTTACATGTTGTACAAATGCACCAAGAGATCTAAAAAAAACACCCCCCAGAAAGTCATGCAGCAGGACACACCACTGATATTTTAGGTTTCTGAACTTGTTTTTCCATGACATTTAATGTACATTTACACTGCTTACACAATGTTTCGTTAAAGATATACACAGAAGTTAATTGAACTAACGGAGATATACAGTAAGTGTAGCTATACTTTCAGGCTACACCAAATGATTTAGCTTTTTTTTAAAGATCAAAACAGATTAAGCTAGGTTTTCTTTTACTCTTTCACCCAGTAATATACATTTTAAAGGTCTGTTAAAGGAATATTTCACATTTTAAAATTTTCTAGGCTTTAGTGGAAAAACAGCCACACACGACTGAGTTCGTCACATATCGGTCCAGTATGACTGTCAACCGTCGAGTGGCGATTGCAGGATTTATTTTTAAACAGATCGCATTTTTAAAGACTGCACTTTCCTGACTGGTTTTAATATTGCATGTGTGAGTCAAGACAAAGTGAAACAAAATAAGACTGAAGCACCAAAGGGCTGTAATCTACACGTTTAAAAGGCACCGAATTGAGGGATAACCAGATGCTGTATAAAACTATGGATTTAAATTAGATGCCAACAGTGTAAATTGTAGATTTAACTATTTTGTTCAGGTTCTTTGCATTTAAACCTATTCTGGCCACATGAATAAGCTATCATTAGCATGAACAAAGCAGTGAAACTTTGTACCCTCACTTGGTTAAAAATATAAGGTACCATAGAGTATGAGTAAAAAGACACTGAACGTCATTTCCGTGTGATCTTTTTTTTGTTTTTATTAATCTTCAATTAGTTCTTTCTTGTCATTTGGAAATAATAAGCTGTCATTTACAGTGAATATAATCTCTCCCATTGAGATATATCAGGAACAGATCAGCAAAAGCTGCAGAAACAGAAGGTTAGAGATGCTCAGGGGAGCACGGTCACAGAGGACAGCCCTTTGCCAGGACAGAAGAAATCATAGCACTGGCTTTCTCACCAGCAGAAATATTTATGCTCAAAAACAAAACTTTGAGGAAAAGACTTTTTCTAAAATCTTCATTAATCCACTGTAGTTTAGATGTATGCTCATGTAAGGGTTTAATCAATCCTATTTGTCCATTGTTCTCTTTCATTAATTATACTCTATACAGCTAGCTGGCCTCTAGGTGCTAGAAACAACCTGACTGCAGTATTTAACCTCCAATGCAAGAATGTGCTCATTTAAATGAAGAAACATAGTAGGAGATAAAATTAGAGAATTGTGAATTAACACCTGAACAGACCAAAATAACTTCACCTTTTAATTTTTATTTATTTTTTGCTCTGACCGTATTAAAAGACAGTGCTCCTTTTTTGCGTCTCGAGACAGGTTGTGAAGCGAGTCTTTGTTTTTTGCGTGATCTTTCATTGTTCCTCAGTCTGGCTAAGTAGTTTACACCAATCTAGAGTAGTTAAAGGCTTTCCGAACCGCTAAGCTTCGCCTAACTTCCTGTTTGCACAACTTTCACCATCTGCCCAGCAGGGGGCCCCAGAGTGGCGGCAGCAGCAGCAGCGGGCTCTCTATTCGTCCCACTCCTTCTTGATGTTCAGGTTCCACTCCCAGGACAGGTGGTCCGTCTTGTCGTCGTCTGTGAAGTAGGATTTGATGTGATAGGTGCCGCGGACCAGCATGCCCTTGGGCGCCTCCTCCACAGGGGTCATGTACTCGTGCTCCTCGGTGCGCGGCCCGTAGCTCCCCACCATGTACACAGCCTTGTCAACTAGGGGGCACAGGACGACAGTCAGAGAAAGAAACATCTCGTTGGAAAGCCTTTTATCAATGAAAATGATTCAAACGATACATCACTGGAGAGGGACAGAGAACATGTTAAAATGTCACACTGACAATATCTGAAAAGGTATGAACGAGTCTATCAACACACTGCATTCTGAAGAATACCATCGTTGTTTACCTTGCTGGCCATTGGCTGCCATCCCCAGGAGAGAGGGTTATTGGCATTTGACGTTTTTAGAAAAGGTTTTTATTTAGAAGGAGGGATGGGCACACTTGCAATTTAGTTTAGGAAGAAACCCACTGTGGTCAGGGAATACTTGGGTAAATCTGAACTGAATTACATGAAAGAAACCTTTTGAGATATTTTGCACTTTTGATATGAATCATCATTTGAATGCAAATTCAGCTAAGCAGTTATATCATTATATATACACTTTAGGCACTATTATATACTTTGATCCAAAACCATTACAATGATCACCTAATAAAAAACATCTGTGGCTGAGATGTTCTTCTGCTGCTAGCTTAAACAGGACTGGGTTTGTAGTTCAACACTGATGCCAATTATTTTTTTAGAGCCTGCTATAGTCAGTAAAATGCTATGGAGGCATTACAGCCTGTCTGCAAAACAAAACCCACAGGCACAGTGTTAAGTCCTTTACCTCTCAGCCCTTTCCTGTAGGTATGGTGCACATACTTCAGCCCAGACACAATATCTCTGTTGACCTGGTGAAGACAAGGACAAAAAGATGACACTGAGATGTGATAAGACCGTTGCAGAAGAAAAAAAACCTGCATTCAATTACAGTTTATTGCATTATCACAGCAAAACCTAAAAAAAAAAAAGTGTTCCACTGAGGCACAAATACCCAAGGTTTGAGATTTTGGTTTTATGTGACAATGCTCACATTTTACAACCACTAGAGGGCATTAAGCACAGTATGAAATGCAGCTACTTAATCATTCTAGCCACACCTTGCTCTACACTGCAGGAGAACTGAAAGGAAACCAGCCACAAAATACAGACGGTCATTGAAGCACAGCCTTCAGTGGTTTTAACAGCTCACTCCAGAGGTGTACAGAGTTCTATCAGCCCTAGAGCAAATACCTACCTAGGATGGCTGGAAGTGAACAGTTCATTTGTCTGAAGAAATACCCAGAGCTACAGGCCATTAGAGCATTATGTAAATTAGGTTCAGAGTTAAATGCTATATACAATGTCTCACAGGCACAGCTGTTTTAAAGACACACTGGGCTGTTAGCTTGGAAAAGCCAATGGCTATTATTTCAACACACTGCCTCTAGGATACAACAATTTAGAGAACAGGAAAGGGCTTTATGATGCAATTAGTTATTCTTTTACATTATTTCTTAGTAACATTCTACAATATCGGGGACAAAGACTTTCGTCGAACTGAGTGCGGACTGGAGTGCAGAATAAAGTCACCTGGGGAAGAGGTGGCTGCTGCAGATGAGGAGCTATTAACCATGCACCCTGCATTCTGATTCCTGCTTAAAATGCAGCCCTTGTGTAAAACCACTGGCTGTGATGCAAGACAGCGTGAGGTGCTCATTCTGCAATCTAAAATGGCAATCAGCTGCCTTTTCAGGCCAGTGTATGACTATTTCCCCCAAAAAGTAGAGCCCTGAGTCCCAGGAGAGCATCCAGCAAGTCAGTTTTACAGCATTTTAAAGGCCCCCTGAAGCACAACATTACAGACCACCTACCAGTTTTGCATATTGCCAAAACACTAGTTTATAATACAATGGCCTATTTGTACACAAACACAATTCCACTTGCAATCCGCCTGTACATTTCATCATACCTGATGCTTCTTCATCAGGTGAACTGCAGTGGCATTAATTTCTGCTGGCATCCATACAGAATCCAACTCTGCAGCTAACTTCTTAAGAGACTCACCTTGAAGTGGATTTTCACTCGGTAGTCGACCCCTTCTTTCAACACAAAGTTCTGCTTCTTCAGAGCCTCCAGGTCACCTGAAAAGACAATGCCAAGGTTTGTTCAGAAATTGGTGAAGGACTAATTTGCTACTTCAAAAGCAAAAACAGGCCTTCTGTAAGGTCTTAACAGATGCATGTAGAATCAAACAGTACACACCTAGTAGGAGAAAGTTCATAGGTGATGTGTCTGTTGGATATCCAGTTACTCATTTAGTCAATCAACTGAAAACTCCAATTAAATGTTTCACAATCAATTTGTCCCAAAGTGGAGAATTCTAAGTGAAAGAAACTGATTAACGTTTTTTGCAGAGAGCAATCAGAAACTTGTGTAGCTGGCCCTGCTTTTAAAGGCCTCCTTAAATAACCCACTCCAGAGATCTCCTGCATTACTCATCGGGAACCACTTTTCCTTTGTCTCGCCAAGCTTTCGAAAAACACCTCACTGCTTCTTCTCAGAAAGGGAGACCAGTTTCTAATACTAATGCTGAGAAGGAAATAAAAAGAAAAGTGGACTAAAATGAAACGCAAAAAATGCAGTCTGCAACATCACAGACCCGTGAGGCAATGCTATCAGCAGGGCTCGTCATGTGAGCTGCAGCAGGAAATCGATTCAGATCGGTGATGGCAGAACCAGAGAGAAGAGAGCACGTCTGGGAGATCTCCAGACACTTCGGGAAGAGGGGTTCTTGGCGGCTGAGCTTGCAGTTTCACGTCGGTGACCCTACATCAGGTTTTAACACCGATTGCACACACAAAAGGTGAAAATCACCAAACTACCGGCAACTCTTTCAAAGTCTATGCTCCAGTCTTTTCACTGAAAGCTTATCTTGTATTAACATTTTGCACAACTACAAAAAAGCCACCTTATGACGAAACAAGACCACTGGACAAAAAACAGCTATTCTAACCTGTTGAATTTAGCTACAAAATACAAAACTGCGTATAGTATGGGGCTCCATTTAAAAATGTTGTTGCTTATTACAGACACTTAATGCTGAGCTCTACCTCCGATTTCAAACTCGGCGTTAAATTCGTAGCGCGGAGTGAAAACATCTGGGAGACAAAGATAAATCAGTCATTTCAGGTGTCACGAGTCGACAGGTGAGACGATGAATAACCAGGTCTGGCTTTATCTCACTGCTGCAGCCAGCGCGGGCAGGGCTGGTGACCAGTGGAGCTCCTCGGCATCACTCCTCCTGCTAGGGCTCTCCCAGTGGGAGCGAGCGAGCATCAAAGGAAAGATCAGAGCGGTACGCCAAACAGGATATTTGCATAAAGTGATGAGAGCTAATTTGAGATCTGCCAGCCTCTCCCCCCTCCCACTTTCACTTGAATGCATTACTGAAAATAAGAAGTCCCCCAGGATAGTTCATTAATGCAACGAATTCTACTTGTTAAAATGGGTCAGCCTAGAAAGTCGCTAACTGCTCTTTAAGGACGACTCTCACTCAACACATACTACATGTATATTTACTGTGCATGTATATTTTAGGAGTGTATCGTTTTAAATAAACTGCATTTAAACAAATATTTGTTAAAGGGATACAGCAAACAAGGGTACACATTCCCTGCAGTACAGGATGTATTCTACATACACAGCTACTGCAAAGAAGCATCTGTTTCCCCTGTTATTTATAACTCTCCTAGCTTGACTGATCCCTTGAGTGTACAGATCCCGTTCTGTCAAAAGTTCTGTTTATTTCAGTCCCTCCAAGAACGTGCATTTGACCAAATTGTCCTCGAAGGTTTTTAAATTGCAGCATCCGCCACAATACTCCTCCTGGCCCGGCGGCAGGTCAGACTGCTTCTGGACCCCTGTGGTCTGCAGCACCTGACTGCGCCACGCAGGACAGATCGAATCCAGGATGCCATTCTCCACAACACATCATCTCCTGGGACACCGAGAGGAGGTGGGTCACCAGTCCGCAACATGTACCTACACCGACATGTTGAGAATACCCACTGTAACCCAACTGCAGTGCAATTCCAGCTGCTTACAGACTTATTTTACAGATTTTGTACAAAAGGACTGTACATTTTTGACTGGTTTTAGCTCCAACAGGGCACATTTAAACACTCCTTGCAAAGTAAGAGTGCAGGTTCCCATTGAATATTCTGAAAGAGGTTGTTAGGCAATATCTGAGAATATGCATGATTAAATCGTTCACTCTTAATCTCAAATCTGCATTCTGGTCAGCTCTCTAGGGTAGCTGGCTTTCACTGCATTTACCACAGGATTCTGTGCCTTTGACAGGGTAAAGAGACTGCATTAGCGCCTCTTCAGACTGGGCATGTGGCCTTGCAGTGCTTCTCCTGAAACAGTCCCTGGAAATGAACAAAGGCAGGGAGATGCTGAGGCACAGCGACGCCCCGAGCTTAACAAAACTGCAATTCGTCACTGTCAGTTGTGAAATTGTGAGGTTCGCTTCAGTGTCTTCATCTGCTGATTATCAACATGATCCATGGACTGGACTCGCACGGCAAGAGAAAACTGTGGTCTGAAGCAAAATACATTTCAACTATACTGAAGACAACAACCATAGTACCATCTAATATTACCTTCAAAGAAAACAAAAACTGGAAAGAAATGTTCATATACAGTATAAAAAGTGAAAGAGATTCAGTGAGATGGTAATCTGGATGATTACTGTAATTATAAAGTATAAAAACTGATAAAAACTGTAGCTTGTTATGCTCACAATAGAAATTAGAATAACTCTGTTATTACATTAGGCAAAGCAAAGCCCATACAATTAGTTACATTTAGTGTTCATCTAGTAAAAATTGCAATAACACAATTGATACAGTGTATATGAAACATGTACAGAGTTGCTATGGGGAGAATTGTGCCCTTCGGAATGCTGAATCTCATGGTTAAAGTCTCTTCAGCCTAAATCTCCCAACACAACAGGTCAACAGGCATTCAGAACAGAGGGAAGGGAAACCTTTCTGATGATCTTTCACTGTGGGCCTGCACTTTCACTTCCTTGCAGAGTAGCTGCGCCGACAGCTTCCAGATCAGACCCAGGACTTCTCTGCAATACTCACTCTTATATCGTGAACTCACTGTGGGTGCAATAGATCACACTGTACAGCTGAAAGGCACACAGTTTTGCATCATAAAAAAAAATAATTTAAACAACTTTTGCCATACTGGGGCCTAATATATGCTATAAAGCCCCACAAACAGCAATGGACTACTGCCATTAGAAAACAAGTGCAGATTATGCCCTAGGAAGTGTAAAAACAGTATTGTCAGGGACAGTAGAGTGAACAGTGACTTGGCCTTAAAATCCTGGAGTTTAAAGAACAGCAGAATGATTAAATCACATTCATCAACCTGGTAGCTTATGCGCCTTGCTTTCGGCAACACAGAAGCAAGCAGAGTATTCTTGCTCACTGTTCAGTGGTCACCATGCACAGGGGTTCCTGCAGCAGTATATAATAATTAAGAATGGCTTACACTTATATAGCGGTTTTTCTGGACACTCCACTCAAAACGCTTTACAGGGAATGGGGACTCCCCTCCAGCACCACCAGTGTGCAGCCCCACCTGGATGATGCGACAGCAGCCATAGTGCGCCAGAACGCTCCCCACACACCAGCTATCAGTGGGGAGGAGAGCAGAGTGATGAAGCCAGTTCATAGATGGGGATTATTAGGAGGCCATGATTGGTAAGGGCCAATGGGAAATTTGGCCAGGACGCCGGGGTATGTACAGGGAAGGCGGCCCGAGAGGAAAATTGGAAAAGCCACCACAGGAATGACTTCCTCCGCGCTGGCAGGCATCTTTTCTCTGAGCGCTGACCGAGAAGGCCCCGAGACGCTTCCCCCAGACTCCAGAACGACTTCGTAGAGACAGATTCAGATAGTTCACATGCAAGCGCACGTAGCGGTGAGCAGCACAACGATCCCGCAGGGAGAAAGTACTTCTCTTTCCAAGAGCTGACTGCGATCAACAAGAATCACAGTTACCATGTCGAGTGTAGCTGAACATGATTAAGGGAAATGGCTGCCGACTGGAGAGCAACCTAATTCTATTCATAAGAAAGAGAATGAACACGCCGCCCCTCCGCCTCCTGTCAGTAGAGCAGCTGTGGGTGAAGGCCCCTGTCCGGAGGAGTAATGACCCGGTGCTGCCAGCCCTCCCTGATGGGCCCACAGAGAATCGCTCCATCACCTAGCAACAGCGTGACCTTCTTACGACAACTGTGGACGCCGCTGTGTCACATACAGAACAAGTCAAGGTGCTGGTATTGAGAGCCCTCCCTCGCTCCACACCACTCACCCCACCTTCCCCAAACAGAAGCGACCCCCACCTCTCTGTTTACGCCTTTATTCCTAGACGCCCCCCTCACCTCCCCCCGGATTCGGGTCCGCACGACGCGGGCAGCCCTCGGAGGGGATGACATCATCCTGCACGATGAGAGGCAATTACACTGCAATACAGCCCCACCGGGACCTTTTGTACACAGCATCCACTAAACAAACACATCCATCTCTTTTATAACCTACAGCCTCCCTTATGAGGCTTTGCTGAACATTTTCTGCACAAGCTACTAAGCATTTAACCGGAGCACGCCACTCTCTGCGTTACATTTTGTGTACGACAGGATGTAAAAACTGTCATTAAAATATGCCTTCACTTCCTATTTCCTAAAGGCATTGCAGCTGTCCTCCAGGCCTTTCACACTCGGAGAGCTCCAGTCATGCCCGTTTCTTAACGTGCATCTGCAGAAGGAGAACTCGGAGCCGAGCTGTGACCCAGTACAGCCATGGAGTGGGGGGTGCTGGGCTTGTCTTACCTGTCAGGTCCATCGTGATGGGTCCCGGAGCCTGACCACAGACCAGCGTCAGCCTTGTGACCTCAACGTTGGGCACAGTGGGGTCTGGGAAGGGAAGGAGGACAATGAGGTTGGCACAATAATGTCAAGGCAATGAAACAATAAAAGGAAGGCATCAGAGCTGTTGAATATATCCAGATGTGTAACAAAAGTCTATCAGAAGAATTCCATTTATTTTCAACCAGACTTAATCTTTTTTATAGCATGAGGTCCGAGTCTACTGAAACAGGTCTGGAAAGAGCACCGAATTACATCGGTTTGCCACTTGCAAAAACGCAGTTGTCAAATTGTTGTTGTTCTGCCTGAAAGAGGTCAGAACAGGGAGGCCATACTGAGGTACAGTAACTATTCCACAATTCCTTTAGGCTGTGGACAGCTTCGAAAAATCTGTCCAATTGCTCAGTGATCTGTAAATGGAAATGTTTATTAGAAGAAGCCTTTAAATACACACAGCCTGCCATGGTAACATGGCAGTTTGAAATATAACAGCCTGGACTATAGGCATATGCACTCTTCCATAAAATAAAAATTCACTGGACTGTAAACTTCTCATTGTAATGTTTTACATTTGGACAAGTGGACTACCCAGCTCGAACAGATTACAAATGAAAAACAGAAGACATTCACCTGTGACATAAATTTAAGGCACAGTAAAATAATCTTCTCAGACATGTGAAAAGTGGAATTAAATCTGTTGGTTTTCGGACACAAAATAAAGGCATATTTTTTCATTAGACTATTGTGCTACAGCTCTCTGTTCGGCCTCGATGCACAACACTGCTGGCGTGAGGAAGAAGGGGGCAGCTTTCAGTCAGAAGCACAAACACCCTTTCTTTAGTGGAGTGTCCAGGACTACACAACTGTACATGCACCCATCACTGACACAGGGCTCTCCTGAACTGCTTGTCCAGCACTGACAGTTCATAAGGCTCAGTCTTCATCCCAGTTTAGCACACAGCCACTGGAGTAGTAGTGTCTGTCCTCCAGTCAAGGGAAACATGGAAGAGAGCTTGCCCAAGAGGTGCAATTTTCCCACATGTGGCCCTCAGTGACTTCCTGCCAGGGAATCTGATGCATATTTAAAGATTTGTAATTATTTCAACGTCAATTGTAAGGTATATGGACCGTATTTTTGGCCTTCTAGAAAGCTTCAGCTAATATGGAAATGACTGGGCTTGCCGGCTCAGCTTTGCAGCGGAATGACGAATGAGTATTGGCAAGAGAAAGCTTTTTATGTTTGTTTAATGCAGCAAAATGAAAGTAATGTCGAAAAGGGAAGAAAAGTTAAAAATAAATCACGGCCGCCATCTTTTGAACATGCCTCCGTCAGAAGGGCGTAAATTCCTGTTAACCCCAGTAATTCTGCCGGAGCACTTGACACCGTTTCTCCACCATCCAATAAAAAAAAACTCCTTTAGATGAAATTGATCTATATATCTTTCTCGTAGGGCTCAGCAATTTCCAAAGCAGAGCTGAAAAATTCATAAACGCCTAAAAAGCGCTGGTCTGTTCTGCAGTATGATTCCCCCCCTCAGGGAGTCCTCTTGGGTTAAAATGCCTGAGAGGGAAATCATTGCGCTCTGCTCTGCATATAAAGACTAGACCTGTGAATAATAAAATGCTCCTACACACAGAGCTGGAAATTAAGGCAAACTTGAAAGCCCCTGGGTGCAACTGAAAGATGGGAGGCTCTGCACCGCTGAGCAAGGTCAGCTCCCATTCATAAAGACTGCACCGCTGTAGCTCCGTCAGAAGGAGACTAGCAACACAAAAGCACAAGCAAATACTTTATGTACAGCCTATAAAATGCCATTATACACTAATTGAAATCTTAACATTTCTAATAATTTGATGCAAGAAATAAACTGCATATCTGCATAAAATCGCATCTTTAGAATAAACCTGCTGTGACTTTCAAGCGATCCACTAGATCTCTAAACAAGAAAGTGTGTAAACAAAGATCTTAATAGTAATTGCAGAGATGCAAGGAGTCACAGAGCTTTTCAGTGAAGATTTGAAGGCCTCCTGGAAATCAGACTGACAGAGTGATTCTTCTTCTTCTTCTTCTTCTTCTTCCTCACAGCCTTAGTCCCAGACTGTCCTGGGGTCAGCTGCTTTGGTTGCTCTTCTCCATTTGTCTCTGTCGAGCACATCTTCCTCACTCACTTCACATACCTCCATATCTTTTCTCACACAATCGATCCATCTCTTTCTAGGCCTGCCTCTTCCTCTGTTACCTTCCACCTCAAATTCCATTACCCTCTTTGTTACTTCCTCAACGTCCCTCCTCATGATATGTCCATTCTCTCGGTGTCTAATCTGCTTCCTCTTTTATTTTTAACAAGCACCTTTTACATTTTAAAACACCTCCTCTAAATGGCATTTGGAGAGCCACACATTTAAGGATCAATAGATTTAGTGTTAACCTTTTGATTTTTTCCACAGAGTTCAATATGTGCGAGACAACAGTATGTTTGCTCAGCCTGTCAGTTTCTTTGTGAAATAACAGGTACGTCTCCTCACACAAGAAAATCCTGCGTGCAGAGCGAATCCAACACTATCAAACAAGGTCTGATCTCGGGATCACCTCACATGCACTACTGCTGCAGAAACAGCCACAAGACAGAGCTACGTTTCAGCCTCTTGGCCCCATGGAGCAGTCAGACCACAGCTACAGGTGTGCAAAGTGTAAGCAACTTGCAGGAGTACTGTACAGTTACCACTGGTATTTCTGGAAAAAAAAATGTTTCTGAAAGAAAACCATCTTTAAGCAAAATGTCTAAGTAAGGGTGTAAACCCATCACTGATTTCAATGGTAAATGAAGGTTCATCAATATTTACAGCAGGGGTGTCCAATCCTGGTCCAGAGGAGCCCCAACCCAATTAGTCGTACAGGTTATCCGTTTTTAAACACATTAGCAAAGCCTATTGGTGAATTAACCATTTAATCTATTTGTTTAAAGAAAGCTTCTTTGAGGGCTGAATAGGATACAGATTATGTTCTGTATAAAGTACTTGATTTAACAAATAACCGGATTAATCGATCGTAATGGATATTGTTTTGAAAATGTAATTTAACAGTGACCTATGAATTCAGGTTTGGGGAGTTCCAATTTAAATTTCTCCCCTCTTAAACAGCCAACGAGCAGCCTGTGTTGGCAAACAAAAAGCCGCTTATTTGCACATCTTCAGTGCACATTAATTAAGAGGATTATACAGCTATTTTAAAAGCTCTTTCTTAACTAAAACTAATGGTTTTAGTTGCTCAATGAAGAGCAATGAGAGTTAATTAAACACGCTGGCATCACTGTGAACCCTAACGTTTGAATGAGTAGTCTGCATTTTCCTGTGCTGCTCTAGAGCAGACCAAAGAGTCTCTGCAGAATATTGCAGCCTCACACTTTGAAATAGATCAAAGCAATTGCCCTTGGTGGTTGAAAAGAACAGTCCTGGACTTCATTAGATCACTCATCGGCAGATTATTTTGAAAGAGAACTTCATTCTGTTTGAAAATCAAATGCCCTGTTAAGATGACAATGTTTGTATCCCACTGCTGTAAGAGTATTAATGAGGAACCTTAATATGAGGAGTTCTGTAAGGAAAAGTAATGTGTTTAATACGAATTCGAATTTCAAACTAGGTTTTTCCCGTTGTATTAGGAAATTGCAAAAGCTCAGAAGGATTTGTGATTCGCAGACCAGGAGTGTGCGGTCTTTCGCCGCAGGGGGATTTACGGTTATTATTTTGCGCGGATCTGAACTCCTTTAGTCTGGAGAGCAGGGTCTGAGAGGGAAAACACTCTGATGAGAGCACAAAGCAAAATGGCAGCAGGCAGGGGAAATGCTGACAGGAGCCCCAGGGGAATCAGAGTTGTGTTATATACACTTTATACAAACCCATCCATCATCATAACCCGACAGAAAAAAAGCTTTCAATTCCATTGATTCATTATAGGGGCAATTTCAACAGTGCGGCGGTCTATTCACTGGAATGCCATATATCAAGTATTTGACATTGTGCCACAGTGATCATTCTTCCCCATGGGTTTCAGGTGCGATAACCAGCTTATGGTGATGCCCCCCCTCTTCGGTTCACGCACTTGCTATTTTCTATAGCTGCAGACAGACAAGATGCGAGATTCCTATCTGGACCACATTCCCAAGGGGGCAATGGGAAATTACCTGCCACCCTCAGTCACCTGAAAGATTGGGAGAAGATATGGGAAAAAACCCAGGAAGCAGAGGATTCCAGTTGGGGCTGAGCCTCTGCTGTCCAGGAAGAGAGCAGAGCCTCCGTTATGTGCTGCGCCAGAGGAAGATGAGCCCACTGTTTCACCACCACCTTTCACCAGGGAGGCTGTAGCCCACGACTGTGATGAAGAGTGTCAGTAAGTTCCACCTCCTGGGAGAGGATGAACCAGGCGTCGCAGGTAATAAAGAAAGGGAACCAACTTTCTGGATGAGCTCTCCTATTTTGTCAAGTTGAGGTGCTGCAGAACCTAAGAGGTCAAACACTTGACACAGGCGCGCCCCCCTCTCCCGAGGTACACCCCCTCCCCTCACCTGCCACCACTGGGCCGGACCCCAGCAGCGCCTGCTTGTACTTGTTCAGGCTCTCGTCATCCTTGTCCAGCTCCTGGATCTCCTGCAGGGACTTCTGCGCCGGAGGCTGGTAATTCAGCTCGGTCTCCTCTTCCTCGTCCGCAATGTGCTTCTCTGCCTCTTTGTCAGCCATGATGTCTGGGGAGAAGACAAGGAAGTTAAATAAACTACATGAATAGTCTTCCAGGGATTGCTTTCCACAGCCTCAGAAACCACACCTTACGAACGTTAAGCAATATTCTATATTTGATTTGGGTTAAGTATTCCGAAAAACAAGTTTTTCTAACTTCATCTGGCCACTACTGCCCCCAAGCTAACAACGGCTCCTCAGGCTTGTAAAGTTGCTCAGGAAGGGCCTAAATGTACTCCATTTACTCTATGAGCTTTGGAGATAAAGGACTTTCTAATGTCTCCAAAGAGCCTCATTCACCCGATAAAGCTCATATTCACAATACACAATACTGCCTGATTACTGTTGACAGTAACCAGGCAGTCTAACCCAGTCTTGCTTCAAATTTCATTACAGTAACTGGGTTAAGGCCACCAGATTCCTAGATTTTTCACTTCTAATGGATGAAGCCATTTGTTTAGGTGGTATTTTCATACATTTTTTCCCCCGATTTTCCAAACTAGCTGCCCTGTGATGTATATTAATATTCAGTCTGTTCACTTCAGAACATGAAGCTTAATTATAACCTCAAAGGTGATTTCTTTTTTATTGCTCCACACCACTAGGGATTTTGACCACAGAGCTGAAATGCATTTCAGGGGGATGTTTCTGAAGGCTTTGTAAAACCATCAAGGACCCGTGTCCTTGTGTCACCCCAGACAATAGGGGAATGCTGTTATTACTCATCCTGTTAATTTCCTAAATGAGCTTGTTAAGCATGTCATGCAAAGGAAATATATCCTCCCATTACAGCTATCAGTTGATCTGGGGGTTCAGTACCAGCAGCCTGTGAAACACTGCATGTCGTTTTTTTTTTTTTTAACAGTGACATCAGGCTTTGCTACTGTCTAGACAGGCACATTGTAATGCTCTGTGGAGGGCAGATATCCTTGGTGACAGGGACAGAGCACAGCTGTGCAAGAGCAAGTCTCTGCAGTTCTTGCATTAACCCTGTCATGACAGCCATGTCTGCACAGAGTTTGACTGCATTCCCTGTTCATACAGGACAGAGTTGCAGGCTGTAACCTCCAGGGGCTGCCTCAGAGACCACCTACACAATCGGTGGAACACCAACCAACAACAGCTAATTCATTCCCCTTACTTTACTGGTTACAGAATTTAAATAGGAATATGAAATTTGAAAAGAAAGAATTTGGCACTCATGTACAGTAGCTGGTGTACTCTGCGTATAAATATAAAAGGTGTAAACCTGATACCACTCGTGTATTTTTAATACTCCTTCTTAGAAGGATAGCTAGAATCTGAAGTACTGTAATTGTATATATGTAACACTAATAAGCATTTGCCGTCTTGCTTGAGAGAGCCTGCCCAGACATTTTAAAGCAATGCACAGTGCCATTATGGAATGCCATACTTATAAAAGCATCCTTAATGTGATCAATACTCTTTTCAGAGCCATTATTCCAGAAGCCAATTAGACTCTGGTACACAGCACATTTGCTGCATTTAGATTCTATCAGGACTGCAATAGGCTTCTGCCCAGAACTCCTGATAAGATGAAACATCACAAACCATTTTAATTCTGGAATTAACCAGCAGAGCGCAGAAACAACAGAAAACTCGGTAACCATTTCCAGAGAGGACTAGGAAATAATGAAATGAATCTTTTTAATACGAAAATAAACAGTAAAAGTAAACCCAGGTTTGAGCTCCACAACCATCTTCAGGCCTCTGGACTGGTTTCTCTGAAGCCCACTGATGCAGCCCTGACCTCCACTATCATCAGGGCAAACAAAACCAGTGAAACTTGACACACCACATTGTAGAAGTAAAGATCTGGTTTTGGATTAGCAGAAAAAGGGACTCTTTCATAAGGAGGAATCAACCCATCATTTAATTGTTGTGCAGCTCAACATGCAGAAAAGTCTGTTACTAAATTCCTCGCTGTGGTATATCAAAACCTAAAGAACTGGTGAAAATGCTCTACAAACAGCTAACACAGTCGTCTTCTGGCTTCCTTCCAAAGAAATGTTCTGTTCTTTAGCTGCTTTTAAAAAAAACAAATTGACTTTATTCCTAATACCCTGAGCTGTGACCTCATCCTGACGTACACCAGAGTCCAAAATTAGTCCCAGAGTGTTTATGTGGAAGTCAGAATTTAGAACAATTATTTACTGAGGGGAGATACAGCGCGTTTCTTGGACTTGAACAGCTCCAGAAGGCTGCCAACTGCAAACAACTTCTGCAGCTAAACCTGCCTCCTAAACAACTGCCCTGGGAGCTAACTTCCAGAACTATAGGGTGCAACACAAAAGACGTAAAGTTATATATTCTTCCAACAGTAGTGGTATAAATAAGCAAATATAAAATGTGCTAGTATTACACCATGTCAGCTAAGAAGTCCAGTAACTTCTCAACACTATTTTTTCTTTAGTGATTGACAGCTAATTTCACAAACACTTCCTTAAGAAAACAGAAAGCATCATGAAGGAATGTCTAGGCCTCGCAATACAGAGTATTTAATGAACAAACAGCCAGTAAGCTAAAAAAATATGACAGCACATGTAACAGAATACTGTGGAGGAGGGTGTGAAGGGCTGCTTTTTGTACCTCTTCTTCTGCTCAGCATGATTGCCGAGGGGCAAGACAGTGTTTTATATATTTCAGTGTGTGACGCAAAGAGGAATTACTTATCGTTCACACTAAATCGTTTGTCTTACCTGCGTTGGCAATGTGGTCAACACTTCTAAGAACATTTAGCTATCGTGGGCTGGATCTTGGCCAGAGACAGAAGGGACGAGACAGCAGCATGTTCTGTAGTTTGGTGCAGCAGCATGGTGCGTTTTTAACAGCAGTACAAGACCACGCTTAACTGAGCAAGAAGGCAGGACATGCGAATGACTGCTGTAAATTCATTACCGTCTCCGATGTCACAAAGAGCTCTCCAGTAGGAGAGAGAGGCACACAACAGGAGCTGAATGCCACACCTTGATGATATCAGCAACACACACCTTAGCTCAGTCATGCTCAAGGTACTGGGATACCACAATTGTTGAAGTGACTATGAACACAACTAACCTAAGCACCATACAGTAGTTTCTACTTTATGATTTGCATTTACATTTACAGAGAGGCAGATTACTTGATCCTAGCAATGCAAATCAACTTAGTTAAGCACTACTTATTAGCAAACATCTAAGAATCTGAAAATTACTTGGTAACAGACAATATCAGAAGCAATATGTGTGCTAAAGTGAGTATTTTAACTGCATAGTGCTGTCTCCAGAAGCTGGTAAATTTGTAAAAATTGCAGTGTTAACGTGGGCACTAACACCCTCCTAAGTATTAGGCGACTTGGCGAAGCATTTGTTGTGTACATGACCTAAATCCTTCCTGAAATCTTTAGCGTCGGCAGATACTACTAAAGAATATTGCAAGTCAACTGGTCACAGAAGCCCCTTTCTTGACATGTTGGTTTTATACCACGCAACGTCACACAAAATGAAGTCTGACCAGGAAGAACAAGACCTGGAGGGAAAAGGCACTGTTTTGGATGGAATTAGGCAAGAGAAACTCCCACAGCCTCAGGCCGGACAAGATTCACACTCAGCGCACAGCTGTGTCCAAGGGGCCGAACTGACACACGGCTCTTTTCCAGTCCGCTGCCCTGGTCGGACACCTGGAGTGGATCAAACAGCTCAGAAACAGAGCTACGACTCATCCAGCTGCCAGACTGCCCACTGAGAGGGAGTCGGGTTTCCGGGCCACAGTGCCGAGCGGAAGAGAGACCGGCTGCTGTGCAGCGAGGCGGGGCTCGTTCCAGCCGATCCATCCACACCGAATTGCTAACAAGCTCCCGGTTTCAGGGAACCCCGTTCACACTGCTGGGGAAAAAAGAGCGACGCCGAACTAACACACTGGCTGTGAAGCGATCCGAGAATCGGTTTGTCAATCTCAACGTGCGCCATTATGAAAGCATTTAAAACCTCAATGCCAGCATGAAGAACTGCCAGTCATCTCCTGGGTCTGTTCGTACTGAAAGACTCAAGAGTGATAATCGAAACTCTTTTTCATTATTCATGAGTCCACACTGCTCCTACCGAGTACCGTAATGGTATTCGCAAATTGTATTATTAAACACAAGTTCTGCTTCTGTCAATGACACCGATGTGAAAACGGCAAGAGAGGCACATGGTTCTGCTGCAGGCTCCAGCATCAGGCCAGCACTGTGGGCACCAGCTCCTGCTCCTACAGCCTCTGTCCCCATTACCCTGCTTGTCACAATCTGGTCTCCCAGAGGTCACTACCTGGTCTCCCACGGGCTGTCCACTGCCATCCTCACCAGAAATCACCGCCCGCCTTGTGTCGCTGGTTTTAGTACGATAACACCCATGGCATGATTGCAGCAACTGAATTGTGGAAGTCAGAAGCATGGATCTGTCACTGCAAGCTCAAGAAACAAAATGCGGTTCAGCCGATTTCTTGTGAATCTGCTCTACCGACAAGCCCCAGGATAAGTCTGAGGGATGGCTTGGACAGACAGATGCAGGTGAAGCCCCACATTGTGGCTTGATGTATTCTTGAACCATTCATGAAATTCAAGTGCAAATGCTACAGAAATACGTTTCTTTTCGAGTCGAAAATGGGCAATATTTCCTTATCGGACCAAATTAAAATGAAATACACATATAGTACTGTACATGAAGGAACAAGTAATGGGTTTATTCCAGGTAGAAAAGAGAAGAAGGAAAACAACGTTTTCAGCCTTGGGAGCTGCGTCACCTGAAGAAGGCTCCATGGTCGAAATTTTGTGTTTTCCTTCTTCTCTATTCAGCCTGGAATAAACCTATTACTTGTTCCTTTGTAGCCTACGCATGCTGACGCAGATCCCCACCTGAACTAGTACTGTTCATACTGTATATACCAGAAATTTAAAATGCCAAATCTAAAAGTTCTAGGCAAATAAGCTACCTAGTTAAACCTAGGAAAGTAATGAAAGAATCCTCCTGAAGAAAGCAAGATACCTTAATACCAGAAGATCTCAGTAATCGTAATCATCACCGCGACAGCCTGAGGGATACATTTTCACTCAGATGCAATTAGATTGTTCCATTGTCTTTAATTCTATGAACAGACACCCTGAATTTCAATGGTTTTTAAGACGTTCAGTCTGCAGAAACAGGATTTCCTTTGACACCAGCCTATTAAATGTCTGCTAGTTCAGAGTCATTGCATGGAGCTAGGCCTCCCTTCACATTTGAAGTATGAATATTGCTTATATTCATTGATGAGATATTAATGCAAAGTATTAATGAAAATGCCAAGCAAAATGTAATAGCATGTGATCTTAGTTACTGTTGTATGAATGTACAGTATATGGAAGAATTGCACTCTACCCTTCTTCATTAAACTTTGCATTATCGATTCAGCTGTAGAATTCTATCCTCCATATCTTTATTGTCCTCAATGCCAACCCTTCTCCTGTGGCAAATGGGATGAATGTAGTCAAAGACACAGAGCATGACCTCCGGGATCATTAGCAGACGTACCCTGGCCCTCATGGGCACATTGCGATGAAGCTAGGGGCCGTTCGGGGCCAGCAGACCTGCTTCAAAGTCACATCACACGGCTGCATTTTTCAGCTCAGCAGGTAGTGAAGAGGAACAGATGTGGACGTAAGTCCCACTAAATATTCTGAGGTCAGTCTGATAAATACTGGTGTAAAAGAACTAGACAAGGCAGCAGGGCAGATGAAACAGTGATGCATATTTGCCCGAAATGCACCACAGCTCCCTTTATTGGTAAGGCTCTCCTCTGCATTCTGACCTCACAGAAGCAGCTTATCATAAAATACAGACCAACTCCAGGACTTGGATGAAATGTGTGGAGGTAGAAAAAAAGCTTTACAGTGAGGCAGCAGAGCTGAAGGGCCTTTCTGAGGATTAAGCATATCCTGATCTGCTGCCTGTTCCTCCATAGCTGCTGAGAGGCAGAAACACTCACCACATTAAGGAAAGGAAGCAAAACTAGAGTAGGTCTGTGTCAGTATAAGCATTCTTGTAACTTAAGAGGATTTTAAAATGATCTGCATTTGTTTTCAAAGGAGACAGATTTTTTTGCCGATGTCGTAAAAGAGCACGGATAAAACTGCCCAAAACCTGTGACAAGGCCAGGCGTTGGTCTGTTTTGAAAACCTCAGACTATGGCCACATGGTTGATGCTTGGTGTTCCTGCAGTATTCAAGGGATTTCCTCAGCATGGACGGAGTTTTAATTCACTGACCCTTTCCTACACGCGCACAATCCCTTGTCTTCACTCAGGCACTGCCAGCAATTTGAAATCATAAAAGATACATGATGCAATACGCACAGACAAATCCAGATTGCAGGAGTGTCTTACATATTACATTCCAAATGCAGTCACTTAAGACTGATCCACAAAGAGCCGCGTGAGCCGTGGTGTAAAGGATGCTAGGATGATAAAAAGATCCCACACTGGGGAAAAAAAAACCATCTAGTGCACCACTGTTCTACAGCATGTAATGGATTGTTCTGTAACAGCGCATTAGAAATCAGAGACACCATAAAGGGAACAACCCTGATTCAACAAACCAGGGATATAAATGCAACTGCTCTCCTCTGTATGACAACATGCTCAACTTCTATTCTTAGAAAGAATGACAAATCAATCCATCGATCATGACCAATCAATATACTGTAGCAAGACTCCTTTTGCTTTGTGGTTTTCCAATAACTCCATAGTCTCAAAGAAATAAGAGCTATAATATCAAAGATCGTCTTTTGTGACACAGAAGAAATCATTAAGATACGGCTGTAAGGCTGAATCAAATTTATACCTTCAACACAAAAGCACTGAGAAATACACTCCAGAGCACAGAATGGATTGTACAACTATAGACAGGAAATATGAAATTCTGCAGTGTAATTCAAACACGGATTACTTCGCCTTCTAAACATGCGACTTGCAGGGTGATTATCTACTCATCACCAACAGCCACTAATTCCCCTCATTTGGCTTTTGGAACAGCATCTCAGAGCAGCGCTCTGCAAAGCCCAGCCCCTCACCTCTGTAGCAGACGGTGAGCCACAGGAGCTCCAGAACCTGGCCCCCAAGCCCACACACGTCCAAGCCCAGCATCGCGTCCCTCCTGAGGCACTCCGGAGAAGGGGTGGTGGTGGTGGTGGTGGGGACGGAATACGCCCCTCGTGTTAAAGAGGAAAACTTTTACTGGAGAAAGCCTGCACTTTCTATGTAGAAAGCCAGAAAAGCGATCAGCTGTACATCCTTGCTGGCGCTGGGAAGGGCAAGGCAAGCCAGAGAGGAAGGAGGAGAGCAAGCTCTGGACTGTCGGCGATCCCGTGCCGCCTCTGCTGCAGTGAGGGAGCTGCGATGTGGAAATCAGACTCCTGTCTGCAGATGCTATTGATCTGCAGGCAGGCGCACAAGCCCCCTGCCTCAGTGCTGTGCTGCTTCGCCGCTTCTCCGCTCATTAGCTGGGAGGCTGCGATGAGCTCATCCCTTTTCCTGAGCCCCGGCGGCGATGCGCACCGGAATACAGAGAGGAGCTCCCCTCTCCCGCTGCAGGTGGAATACGTAATGCCTTTCCGTCCCCGGGCTGCTAGGGCGGCCTCCCCTGAGGTGAGCAGGAGGGGCTCCCTCTTTGATCTGTGTCGAGGCACACGATTCTCTCCCCCTCGCTCATGCTGGGGATTACAGCCTCACTGCAGACAATGCATCACAGAGCAGGGGCGACAGGAGAAGTTGCAGAATCAGTTCCCCTGTTCTGCTGAGCTACCCTCTGTTCTCTTCTCAAACAGCGTTACAGATCTTTATTGAACCGAGCCCCACCAAACCCCCTCGCTTGTGTCCTCTTAACCTAATAAACCTCACCAGCCGTCCTGATCTTTAGGTGAACCACAATTTCTCAATTAAACCATGAGGGTTAAGGGAGAATGTTACCTAGAAGTCAGAACTGCAGTAAGCCATACTGCATTTAAAAATCTGAAAAGGGTGCAGCAAGCATAAAACTTAGAAGCCGTTCAGAGCTGGCTTGGTGCTCTTGCACCACACAGCAACTGAAATGTCACATCCTCTCCTTTTATCACTCAGCTAGCATCTACAACAGGATGTGTTGCAGCATTCAGAGCATGATTCTCTTTTTTAGAGGGGGGGGGAGGGGCATGGTTCTTGCAAAGTAAAGCACAGCACACGCTTTTGGAAAGAAGAAAAAAAGAGTTGAAGCTGGAGAAGCTCGAGACAGTGGGCAGCAGGCAGTTGCCAGCTCCTGTTGATTCTCAGTGCTGCAGTCTGGCAGGCCAAACAGCTTGGACTTCCTTTCCCTGGGACCACCCGATCTCCCATTTACTCTCTTTCTCATTCTGAGGTTATTAAGACAATTTCACACAACTGAAGAATACTCCTGTTTTGTTTGAACAGGGTCTATGAGAAATAAAGACATGCTAGTAATTTAAGTCACTCTTCGTCAGGTGAGGGAAGTTCCTTAACACCAGAGAAAGATTTCCTGATTGCAGCATTTGTACCTTTTAATCTAGTCTCGCTAGATCTCAGAATGAGTTTGCACACCAACTCCCCTGTATGGTGACCTGGGAGTGGGTGTACTGTAGGAGGGTTTGTCCTTCAGGCAAGATGTTCAGCTGAGGTCCTGACTACTAGGTCATTAAAGATGCTCTGTTTGCAAGAGTAGGGATGTTAAACCTGGTGTCCTGGTTTAAGTCCACGCTCGAATTGCACAAGCTGGCCTCCCTAAAGTTCCTCCTTTACCGAGCTGAAGAAATTTCATACTTCTCCAACTGAACTGTCTGGCACGTGGGGCTGCTGGTGCAGAACGCCTGTTGTGCTTCTGAGGCTGCGCTGCAGTGGTTAATGAACTTGTAGGCGAAGCACTTCGACATCTTTCGAGATGAAAGGCGCAACACAAATGCAATTAAGTACTACTATCAACTGAGCTCCAAATAGGAAAGAAATCATGAGGCCAATGTCGCATCCACAATACTATAACAGAAAAGGATTGGTAAACTTTTGCATCAATGCCTTCTCTGCACAGAGCAGTACAAGCTCGTCAACACCCTTTTAAGAAAGACTGAGGAAATAACAGTAGGTATCACCTGAAATGCAAAATCAACTCAATCACATGTGAAGAGTAAAGCGATATCTTAAGCAGCAACAGGATACAGAGCAACAGATCAACTGCACAAGAGCCAACCACAGACCCAGCTTCTGCAGCTCCTCCGCTCACAGGAAGAGCTCAGAGACGCGCCAACACGCATGACTCGCCTCAACACGCGACATCTCCCTGATAATGACACCTAGGTAGCTACACTTGGGTGTGTGCCATTTAAGAGGAAATGCATTTAAATAACAGTGATGCTGGGGCACAGCTATTATTCTGAACTGGAGGCAATGTTCCACATTCAGCAGTTGTGCAGCTTAGTACTTGTAGGTGCCCTCAGAGACACGAAAGGGTTATTGTGATTAACTCGGAAGTTTACACAACAATACTGCCGGTAAACACTCCCTTTCTCCTGGGAATTCTTCACATAGTGTGACACTTTTAAAGCCGGGCTTATGAACCGCCATAAAAAGCTGAAGCTGAAGTGCTCAACTGGCAGACAAAGCACTTCCGTCTCTGTGCTCGCTGCTGAAAAACCACAGAAGACACGTCTGTTGTAAAAAAAAAAAAAGAAACATGCTCTTAAAAAAATATTCATTTTATAGTCGGCTCTCAAAATTCCACAGCTAAATATACTGATATCCACAATATTTGTACAAAGACAAATACATATATTCAGTTAATAGATCAATATTTAATGACATAATTCAGACAAGACCTATTCAATTCCTCTCATATGCTGAACAACCTCCCAATACACTGGTTCATCGTTTCTTTCGCCGGCAGTGCTCAAACATTTCTGAGATTTCACAGCACAACCTCCCGAAAGTCACCTGAATTTAAAAGTCCCGTCTTTGTCAGGGAAAGACAAGAATCCAGTGTGTGCACAGTTGTCAAGGGCAACTGCACCACTGTTGCTCAGAAAACATAACCAAGCCAACATGAAGACAAGGTTCTGCTGTTCTGGGTAGCTTTGTTTTAGGGTTGGATGTTAGCCTTTATTAATGTTTTCTACAGGAAAGACATTAGTTAAGTATAACCTTACTGACAAAGCTCATAACCAAGCTTTACTGTAGACTAACTGTTATGTTACCAACCTGAACCCTTAACTGAAGTGTGACTAAACCAAGTTCTCTGTTCTTTGAAAAGATTTTCAGTTCCATATTTCATACCGTGAAGCTCTAAAGCTTTGATCAACACCCTTCTACACTGGTTTACAAAGCGATGTCAATATCAAGATTCAATCACCTGCAGTCTGGTCTACTAATACTGTAGTGTCTATACTGGAAAAAAAATATTAGTTTTCCACCTGAAATAATCAATGCAAGAGAGGAAAATTATGTTTGGGATGGATTATGTGAAACCTAACAGTTCACTCTATAACAGGAATACATACCCAGCATTAAATGCAATTGAGAATAAAAAATGAGACTCAGAGGTCATGTAAATTCATTGTCCGAGCGAAATAAAATGTTCAAGGCAGGGAGGTTTGTGGGGAAAAAGACAACCTTTAGAAAATCCTGCACCAACAGAATGATGCATTTCTTATCGTGGGGTTCGGTACTGTACAAGACCCTCTTCATTTGTCATTTTTCCAGTTTTAGACCATCAATAAACCATTCAATAAATGCTCATCACATTTTTTACATTCTGTTCAACAATACTCTTCTCTGAATTCTATACTACTTTAAAACATTAAGGAAAATAATGACTCCCTCCCTTTAATCCTGAGGATAGCTCTAAAGCACTATCTTTTGGAATGTGTTAAGCATGTTGTGAATTAATTAATCTAAATTTAAATAAATCCTCCATAATCGAGGACAGATAAAATGCTTTGTGGCTGCATTGCTCCACCTAAAAACACAGCTCTGAGTCACTTCCGGAGTCTGTAGAAACAAGCAGCAGAATTCAATCTTGACCTTATATGTGCAGATTTACAGTAGTTATGTAAAGCACCTGCAAGAGGAGACAAAAAAAAACTGACTAGGATTACTTCGCCTTGTTTTACATTAAAGAACTCTGAAGGCAAAAAAAATCAAGTAGCAGAAAAATGTAACATGAAAAACTGGAAAAGGTTGCGCTAAGCATGTTTGTGAAATGATTAAAAAAAGCGGTCGTCTTTTTACACATTTAACAAATTTGGATACAGAAGTTAATTTGGGCCAACTGTTCTCAGTTCAGCAAGGTTTCTGTCACACCACTTGTTGATTCAAATGATTAAATTACAAAACCTCAAAACCAGAATTTACAATGGTTATATTGCATTTATCAATGTGAAATTTAATTTAAAGGAGTATTTCACAAAAGAGGAACTTAAGAGACTTCCCCCTCTAACAAATAGGTGCTTGTGCACGCACACACACACACATAACCACACAAGAATGCCAGTCACTTATTTCCTGCAGCCTCAGCAGGGCTAGCAGAGCTGTCATCAGACTCATCTGTGGTTAGCCCCTGGTACTTCAGAAAGACACTTTTTTTGCTAATCATTCACGAGCAGCTCCTACAGAGTCTGGGCTTATTTTCTAGAATTCAAACGTACATCCAATTTAGGGCAAAGTCACTCATTTGTCCTGCTCTGAATCAAATTCAGTTGATAGGATATTTAGAACAGCTACACATTTAAATAAGTGTACATTACTTTTCTCTAAAATGTATAGATATTAAACATTAGCAGATGGCAGAAATATTGTGCTAACCCAATAATGTAATAATGAAAATTTCCTCACAAAAATGTCATGGTGCCTTCCATGTCTCTTCTTTATATATTTGTTTCTTTCTATATGAAAGATTTATATTAGTGAAAGGGTACATTTAACTGATCCTGCAGTATTCAGAAATCATCCAGTGCAAAGGGCAGGCAATTCTCAATTTCCTGTCTACATCAAGAAATATGGGGTTGATTTCCAGGAACTTAAAATACTGATTTATTTTCACCACTAGTTGGTTGTGAAAACCAACAATAAGATAAAAAGTAAGATTTGATTTCAAAGCCAAATGTTTTTTCAGTCTTCACCATAAACTTGATTCCCCTGCAAACTGAAATCCTGACAAACACTAGCATAGCTATCTTCAGTCAGTCCACACAGAACCAGTTCTGCTTCACGACAATGGTGAAGTTTTATGACATTTTTATGTCAGGGAAAAAACAGGCTCAAATAACTCAAAAACCAGAACAAATGCCATGACAGAAACAGGTTCCACACACAGCACAAAGCCTCCTGATAATTCCGGCACCTGGAATCTGCAGTGTCCCTACAAGGAAACAGACCCTGGTTTTTAAAAAAAAGCTCAGGCAGAAAGATAGTTTTCTGTACCCCTAGAAATGAGCACTGGTGGACAGAGTATAAGATAAAATAAGATAAGATC